ATTTCATCATTACTTAAACATGCACATACCCTCTTCCAGACCCTGGCTTTTAGGTGATCACCAGGTCTCCTAAAACCCAGGAAGTCCTAAGATCTGGGCCCAGCCCCTGTTTCCAACCACCTCCTGCTCCCTCCTAGGACCACAGGGCATGAGAAGACATCAGGCCTCCTGGGAGCTGCCCACTTCTGTCACTTTTGGCCTGTGATAAAGCTACTGACCTTCGAATAGTGGGGGCCTTTTCTTCCCCAGTGCTTCCCCTCAACTGCTGATTCTCATCCCCATCATATCTTGTTTCTGATGTCAAATCTATGTTTAGCAAGGGCTGAGATTGGCAGCTCAAGAATGGTAAATTTCTGCTTTCCATATGTATGATCATTATTTAAACCTATTATATTATGTTCGCTCAAGCACCATATCTCTAGTTTGCCAGCTGGAGGTGTACTGAGGGTGACAAAGCATTATTTTTAGCTGAAAGAGGATCAGAGTTGCAGGAATAGGTGGCTCTACTTTGTGGGGGTGGGCATTTTCTATCATGAGTAATATTGCCTGACATGGAGTTGCACAGGCAGGTTTTTGCTCCTCTTTCCTCTAAAGAGATGGATTTGCCACTGTATATTAGAGTGGGGAAGAGTGGAGTTCTCTGTGGGGCACTGAGTCTGGCTGTGCTGGGCAGATTTGCCAGCAGGGTTCTGAGGAGTGTTTTGTAGGGTCCTTCTAGAGGAAGAAAGACAAAGTGATTGGGCGCTCAGGCTCTGGGATCACATGGCTTGGGTTCCATTTTGGCTATACTTTTTTTTTTGAGATGGAGTTTCATTCTCTCACCTGGGCTAGAGTGCAGTGGCATGATCTCATCTCACTGCAACCTTATTTCCCAGTTTCAAGTGATTCTCCTGCCTCAGCCTCCTGAGTAGCTGGGATTATAGGCACCCACCACCATACCCAGCTACTTTTTTTTGTATTTTTAGTAGAGATTGGCTTTCACCATGTTGGTCAGGCTGGTCTTGAACTCCTTACCTCATGATTCATCTGCTTCAGACTCCCAAAGTGTTGGGATTACAGGTATTAGCCACCGTGCTCCACCATGGCTGCACTGTTTACTAACCATGTGTCCTGAATCAAATTGAGCCTCAAGTTTCCCATCTGTACAGTGGGACTAGTACTGACATCACGGGGTCTTCAGGAGAATTACTACATGCTTACCACAATGTAAACCATCCAGCACAGAGTGTGTGTAGTTAAGTGTAAATAGGCATGTACTTGTAAATAAGAAACAGGGCTGAGACATCTCAGAAATGTGCACTGCCATCCTCACCCCTCCCTGACCTCCAGGCTGATCTCCATCAGTGAGATGCCAACCCCGAAGGGAAGGCACTGTGGGAACCTTTGTATGGCTGGGCTTAAGGGCACAGACCCTGATAGGGCTTACATTCATCTCCACCATTTATGGACTATGTCTGTGGTCAGGTATTTACCCTCCTTAAGCTTCCATTTTATTATCATCTGTACAATGAAGACCAGAATAGCCCTCATATATGAGGAAGATGTGAGGATTAAATCATATAAAGTCTGCTCCGTGCATGGAACAGCTCCAGGTGTACTGTTCAGTGCTCAGTAAATGGTGGTTGGTTAGTTTATTATTCTTATTTCCCTACCAGCTGCCTCAGTAATCCTGGCTATGTCTCTTTTACCCACTCTGAATAATAAAGTATTTAGGAGATTAATGTTTGAATCTGAGTTTGAAGCCAGCTTCTGCCACGTATCAGCTGTTAAAAGTCAGGCAATTTCATAACCTCTCTAACCTTTAGTTTTCTTATCTGTCAAGTAGGGGTTATGAGTACCTACCACAGAATCCTGCTGAGGGCAATGAATGAAGTTGTGCAGGTCTCAACATAGGACACACAACACAGTGCTGAGTTCATAAGAAAAATGTAAGAAATAGTATGCTGAGTTTTTAAAAATGGGTAACTTTTATACTTAATGAATGAAAATGTCATCTCAGCTCTTAGCAACTATTTTATTTTCCATATTCCATGGTGGGAAAATGGTTGAACAATTTTGATATGAACCAGAATAGTCTAGTGGTGGTCTGCCATTTCTTAATCCCAGTAGGAAGTCTTTGGCTTTTGGTCTATGATGCTCTAAATCAGGGCTCTGATCAGGTTATGGCTCACCCCCACCCTCTTATCAGCCCCACACACGTTCACTCTGACACAGGCAACAGGAAGGGAAGGTTGAGTGACCTACTTCAGGAGAAGGCCAGTCCCGGGAGAGACCCTGCACTGGAGAACTTGCTAGAGTCCACAAAAGACTGATCTGATAATGGCGACAATAGGGAGTGAGAGAGGAGAAAAGAGAAATGATGCTGTTAGTCAGTAGAAACCGTATTCCCAAGCAAATCCCGGGCCTGAGCAGAATTGCTGGAGTTGGAAAGAGGACTTCTTGAGCACTCCAGCAGAGGAGAGATGAGTAGGGCTAAGGGCCAGGTCTGAGGAGAGTAAACACAAAGAAACAAAAGAGATGAGGGCAGAGAGAAGCAAGCAGGCCTGAGGCTGATCCCCTCAGCAACGGTGATGCATCTGCTTCAGGCTCTGGGAGGGTGAAGTCAGGGAACTGGATCTGGATTGGTAGGTGGGGCCTGGGCTTACCTTGCAGGCTGTTCCCGTTGGTGCTGGTGCAGGTGGGAGGGGGGGAGGTCTGGGGTCTGACGACTGGTGCGAAAGCACTCTTCTGTTTCACGGCTGAGACCATGTTGGCTGGTGAGAAGGAAAAGATGCCCGAGGAGCTGCTGCAGTTGGAGGGGAGGCTTGTGGAGGAGGCCATGGTGGGGCTGGATGGCACTACTGAAAGGGGCAATGGGAAAGGAAAGATCAGGGACGCTCATGGCATCCTGAAGCAAAGAAGCTCAGATCCAACCCTCACCTAGCCACCTTGCTCTGCCCTGCTCAGATGACGCTTCTGGCACGAATCTTCCAGTACAAACCTTCCCTGAACCCTCAGGCTCTTGTCCACTTTCATTATACAGAACTTAGCATGTGCTGCTACCTTTCATTGATGGGGATCTTTTATATGTTTATTGTGGGGCTACTGTGGGGTCATCAGCAGCAATTGCCATTAAGGGACAATAACTCCTGGTCAATCAGCCCAAGGCACTAACCAGTCCAAGCGCACTGAGTGCCTTTATGGGGCAGAACACAGAGTATTCCAGGCCAGGAAACAAAAGTGCAACCCCCTCTTATGAGGGATAAAGTAGCACAAAACAGTGACAAAGGTGAACATAGCCATCTCAGTGGAGGCAGAGAAGGGATATCAGAGAAGGCTTTATAGAAGAGGTGTCAGGGATGCATCCCAGGTAGAGCCTAAAGTAAGGTTCTAGGAAAGGCAGGGGGATAGGGGAAACAGAAAGAAGCCAGCTTGAGAGGATGGCCACCAGACTGCCACATGCAGCATTTGTGAAAAATGCAGAACTCTAAGTCCAAGTTCCAAATTCTTTTTATCTCCCATGGAGCTATACGTGAATGTTTGGGAAATAATAAGCAGGAGGATGGGAGTCTTACATAAATACTCACAGTTTGGTAGTAGTAGGGATGCAGATAACCAGTGATGGGAGAACTTTGGCAACTCAGAGAAAACTTAGCAGCTGGGGGATATGAAAGAGCTTGGTAGATGTACATTCTCTACTGACCATAATCCTCTTGGTCTAGACTCTCATCTTTTGCTTCAGGCTAATAATCTCTTGGTTACTTTAGGAGACAGAGATTTTACATACACTAAGTCAAGACTAATATTTGTATATACTCACTTTCTATTTCCTCCATTTCCTGCAGGAAAGTATGTATCCTGTCTGATACATTTCAGGCAGTAAATTCATGGGCAATGCAACCTAAAGTCAGGGCCTATCACATATTTTTTACACCTGAGCCAGCGAAGCAAGCTGGGACTCATGAAGTAGTGTAGGAACTTGCCCTAGGGCCATCACTAGAATGTGCTGAAGCCAGGAATCATGTCCAAATTCAGAGCTCTCTCTGCTAAGCTACCCTGCAAAGGAAACAGATCTCCAGTGGGAAAAGCCTCGTTCCCATGAGCCTAGCAGAGTCCAAAGAGCTGTTCGGGTGGCCTTATTCTTCTTTGGAAAGTTAGGAAAGTGGGAATCCAACTGGTCATCGACAGCAATTGCCATCGGGGGAAAATGACCCCTTCTAATCAGCCCGAGGCACCACCCAATCCACACACACTGAGTGCTTTCTGGGGCAGAACACAGAGTCACCATCCTCAGAGTTTTCACAAACACTTTTCTAAACTGTACTTTTTCTTTTAATGAGACCAGCATTTTTATACATCTCTGAGGATTTGTAAATGCGAAAATACGCTCAATAATAACACCCATTTAAATTGCAAAACTCCTGCACGGGAGGTTTGATTTTTAAATATTCCTAGGCTTGAAATCCTGCTGGTTCACTGAGGAAGGCAATTAATCTCATTGGCAAATGCGATCATTATGTGTATTTAGAGGTGGGGAGTTTTGGGGGGGCGGTTAACAGAGGAAGGGGTAAAATACAGTCAAGCAGCTCCATTTGTTATAACATTATTAGTTATCAGCCACCACACCAGAAAGTGTGTTCACCAGTGGAATGTCTTATTTTTTTTATTCCATCGGAATTTTTCAACATGAGTGCTTTATGAATAATTAAATATTACAGAGGCAAAAATTCAAATCAACTGGGCTTCGTGTTTATTGTTTTATTTGCATTTGTGCAGATAAAACCGTCTCATCGGAGAGCCTATTTGAGAATTTAATACTATATTTGTGAGCACTGAGAAAATCAATTAATGGAAATTAAATGTTCAAAGTTTCACAGTCTGACAGATGCAGTCTCAGGCTGAAGCTGCTGAGTGTCTGCACAGACTTGAGGAGGAGAGCAATGCAAGCGCCTAAATTGAATTGCCACCATATAGCAATTAGTTTATTGATTTAATTAAGAATGCTACCTTTTAATTTTCAGGTCATGATCGAAACATTTTCTGATTGAATAAATGGGAGAACACTGAAGTGATAGATCTCTATGAGAAACAACCTTTTGATAAGTCAAAATCTAATGTGACACTGATCCTAAACACTGACTCGTGAGTAGACAGACATAATATATGCAGATTATTTGGGGAATTGCAAATGTTCAACAAACTGCTGATTCCAAACAAATAAGGTAGAAATGTATAATTTTGTGGACCCTGAGCAGAAAAATTCACCCAGAAGTAAAAGTCCCTAAGTACATTTTCAGAAATGACTTCTCTTAAAGGGCAAGAATGATCTTTCCTCTTTCAAAGAACTAGCACAACTGAGAGAGAGCATCATTAGTAGTATTTTGTCCAAGACTCTAAGAAATCCTTAATATTCTTTTATTTAATGGCACATCCATCTATCCTTCTACAAATATCTAAGAGTTTGGCCCCATTTTCCACATCAGAAGAGTCACTCACAATGTCCAAGATGAACTTCATTTTAGAGGGAGATGAGGAAATTGTGAGGACATGGGTTATGACCTTTATAGATAAGAAGTCCAGCTCTCTGACGTTCTTCAGAAGCAATATAAACGTACCAAAAATGTTTTAAGCCCAACTTCTTTAAGGCAGGGACGAGGCAACAAAGAATATGTTTTGTATATATGGATTTCTTTTTTTTATTTTTAAAATCTTGCCAGATTTCTGGAAAAAATAAAGTCTGTTTTGATTTCTTGTTTTAAGTATACCGTAAATACAAACAAAGGGGAAAAATCCAAACATTAAAAAATAAAGGAGTCATATTCCTGAAGGGAGAGAGGTTAACTTTTAGACTATTATTACTATGTTACACCAGCACCACATGTTATCATCTTTGCATCATTATGATCATTAGATTTACTGAATGTGCCTCCATAGGCCAGGCATCAGGACAGGCTCACTACATGGATTATCTTCACTATGTTTCACAACACCAGATGGGGTGGATGCTAGTTCCTTCTCCATTTTACAGATGAGAAAATTGAGGCTTAGAGAGGAGATGAATTTGCCTCCTTTTATGTAGCTAAAATGATCAGATGAAATAAGACAAAACTAATAGATGCTGTGGGCTTAAGTAGATGACAAATATGGTGTCCTCAGTGTTTGTGGGGTTTTTTGTTGTTTCCTGCCTTTTTTTTTTTTTTTTTGACACAGGGTCTTGCTCTGTCACCCAGGCACTGGAGTGCAGTAGCACAATCATTGCTTATTGTAACCTTGGGCTCAAGGAAAGCGCCTGCCTCAGCTTCCTGAGTAGCTGGTGGTAACTGGTAGAAGTGGGAGTTAATAAGTGGTAGGAGTGGGAGTCAACCCATCTCCATCTGACTCTGAGCATGGGTTCTTGAAGTGACCTCATACAGCCGCTTTGGATGGTAGCAACAGTCTGACTGTTAGAGAGGTTTTGTAGGAAGGAAGGTGAGCACTGGAGAGCAAAGATTCCTGCTGGAGATGATGGTGCCTTTAGCAGTATCACCCAGGGCTGTGCCTTACAGGATGGAAAGATGGAGGCCCTCTGATCGAGAAGCTCTGCCCAGTGGGCCACATGGTACAATGCCAAGTTCTTCGAGCAAAACTTGCAGGAACACAGGACACACATCTCTACTTACTGGCATAGGGCGAGTTGGCAGCTGAGCCATTGAGGAAGGTGGGGGAGCCACCCAGATTGGACATGGCAGCCGAGCCGTATCCGTTCATGCTCGTGGTGACGGAGTTATAGTTGGTCTGCTGGGGGGTGGTGCTCGGCACGTACCCGTGTGGTGATACGCTGCTTGAGTTGCGGGTGAAACCTGAGGGGTGGGGGCAAAACGGGGATGAGGGTGGCATTCAGATGGTGGCAGTCCTGGAAGACTCGGGGAAAGGAAGGTCTCTGTTTCTGGCCCCCTCGCAGCAACCCAGAGAGAAGGGACTGGGTGATTCATGTGCGTGGGTTGGTGGTGCTAGCTCTGTGATTAAAATGGGAAGGGAGCAAAAGACACATTTCTTAGGAGATCATAAATACTTAGCAGGGCCGTGAGAAGTGGCAATGCCGGGCCTATAAATTATCATTTTAGAGCAGAAATAAATCCCGATCTAAGAGATGTACCCTGGAGTTAACAGGTTCCTATTCCCTGAGCAAGAATGATGTGCTTTGGGCCCTCAAAACTTTAATTCCATTCCTCTTTGCGATCTGTCATTCATGGTTTATGGTGAAAAGTCAAATGTAGAGAGATGGCTAAATGCATGCATCCTTTCTAGCCCCCTATATTAGATTACCAGATGTGATAGCTAGGGCCAACATTGTACAATACTATCTTATACACACAAACTAAGAATCTCCCTTTGGGGATGAAAATAATTTTTTAATATAAAAATTGTTCATGACCAATAAATGAGGAGATGGGGTGCTTAAGGTTGAGAAGGGAGAGGGAAAAGGGGAGAGAAGAGAAAAGCAAGCTTCTGACCCTGATTGGTGGCTTGCGATGCCTCGGAGACATTCACGGCCAGTTGTCCACTGAACGAATTCACGCCCATCATCCCTGCATGGACCGAGGTGTTAGCAAGGGCCGGGAGTTGGTTGTGATTACGGGGAACACTGTACAGGGCCTCTGCAATGTCAGCTGCTCTCTTCAGAATGATTTCCTGAAAAGTTGAAGGAATATCCGCTTTAGCTACCCCCAGTCATATTTCCAATAATACCATTTTTCGAGTGCCAGGCACTGTGCTCAGGGTTTTCAATGGTCAGCTGCATTAACTTCTGTGACCCTCCTGACAAACTGTTACATTAGTCTCACCATCATCATGCCCATATCCCAAATGGGGAAACTGAGGCTTGGAGATTAGAAAACCTCACCTAAGGACACTCACCTATTTAAGAACAGAACTGAGATTCATAACCCCATTTGTCTGACTTTGAAAGTCCATTATGTCAACTATGCCTTCATCTTACCCCTACAGTCCATACATGACAGCACCATGGGATTGTCCATCTTTCCCCATAACATGTAGGAACTCTGAGGTTACCCAGGGAAAGAGGGAGAAAGAGAGAGAGGCTGCAGTGCATCTCCCCTGTTGATGTTAAGGAAAGGTTGCAGATGACTACCTGCATTCCTGAGTATTAATGGGAATGTGTCCCCCAGACATTGACTTAGGTGACATGAACAAGGAGTGAATGGTTTGTCAGACTCAGTTTCCTAAGCTATGTGAATCCTATATATGGAGTTCTATGAACAGAAGCAGACAATACTATTCAGGTCTTGTTATGCTTTTTAGGAGAAGAAACCCTCTTTCTCTTCCAAAATTTGCTTGAAAACCTGAGAGAAATAAAATAAAGCACCAGTAATTCTCCTCTTCAATTATGAAGTGTGTTCTCACTAAAGATTAGTTTTAAATGGAGCACCTTTTCTCATATGGAAAATGATTCAGTGGAAAGGGCAATAAAAGGTTTACAAAAGAAGGATTGACTAGTCTTGCAACATGTTATATCCAAATTACTGATACTCATAACTCATGCACATGGCTCTTATAGTTTTTGTGCGTTCTCATTTTGGTATGGTATCTGAGATCTTTAATTGCATGCAGAAGTCCACATGGGCTGGAAACGCACAGCGCTCACCTGGTTGTTGTGTGGCATCCCATACAGCGCTTCTACCAGATCCGCAGCCCTTTTGAGTATCACTTCCTGTCAAGAGAAAAGCAGATACGATCCTTTGAGTGAAGGCAGGTTGTCGTTTTGTCGTTATCTTTTGACATGATCACGTTCCAGTCCCTCTGTCCATACTTTGCCAAGGCACTGCTATAAAGGCCATAGCTTGGGGAACCCCAGAATGGCGTTAAATCACCAATTTATCCCTGTTCACATACACACTTAATTGAGTCAAAAGGTGAGCATCATTGGTACCGCAAGATAAAATACATCACTCAATAGTCTGCCATAGGCATGATAAAGCACTCATATGTTTATTGCTGAATACAATTCCTAGGTCATTTACTAGATTACTACAATCGATGTCATTCAGTGCATGGTATGAGTCCCTAAGATGTGTTTATTTTGCACTTAATTGCTTATTCCAGGAAACATGACCTTATCAGACAGGTCATTTTCGAGGGATTTCCAATCAATCTTCAGCTACTAGAAGCATGTAGTATTCAACTTCTTTTGTTTATCTCTCTTGGATGGCGGAGCCATAATATGAGAGTGATTTAGGAAACCCACATACTGAGGCAGTGTACTGTTTGTCAAAAACTCTTACAAAAGGACTCTACTGTCCTCAGAAGCCTCCTCTGCACCAATTTTTCTAACTGGCAGTGTCTATTTCTTTTATAGAAATGATTTGCTATTTCAGTATTGTTTGTCATTTCTCCCATTTAGTCATTCATTCTCATCCTAGATATATGCTCATTGCTCATTCCAGTTGAAAAAAAACTCCCTCTTTTTACTTAGGTGGGCTTCCATATTTAGTGTGCATGCTTCGTTCTAATAATAGGGAGCACTCTACGAAAGTGAGTGTGGTGCTAATATTTTTGGTCCTAACTACAATCATTCTTCCTTTTCCCCTAATTTTCTACAATTTCTAACAGACTTATTTATACTAGAATGTGAAAGGAAAGCGAAGTTAAGTCTGATGTATGTAAAAGTAGGAGCTTATTGGAGAATCAAACCTAAGGGTGTGGTATGATCATCAGAGGTGATTTGCAGGAAGATATGTTTAACATTTCTGGCTGTGGGTAAAGTTTCCAACAGAAATTTAACTTTAAATATTTTACACAATAGATTTCCACATAGAGAAGCAGTGCTGTTCAATTATCATAGACTGAGACGCTGATCAGAAAATAGGGAGATAATCGCATTCATTTTGCTGTCACCATAGCCTCTTCAAAAATCCTTGAACAACTCTTGAAATGACAAGCTTTTAGATACATATTAGCATTTTTCAATTTTAAATTCTCTATAATATAAGATAAAATAGTTGTCATACTACAGTAACTACTTATGACATACCTAATGTCCTAAATTCAAAAATAAGATACAGGGGTTTACAGTTCTCAAAAAATATTTATGTTTCCCTTAAGTTGATAGGCCCCCTTTATGAAGCAGTTTAGTTATTTTTCATGTAGTGAGTAAAGAACATTATATAATCAGAGGGGTTTCGGCCAATACATCTGAAATCATTTTTTTATTATTTAATATAAGCTACAAGCTAATTTACCACTTTTTGTTTGCGGTATTGTCTGACCACAGAAGTTAATAATTTACTATGGTATGGGCACAGTATATCCTATCCCCAGATCAAATTCAGCCTGTGTTGCCTTCACTAAAACCTCATGGCTTTATCTGGCTCTTAGGAAAGATTAAAACAAAACAGGATCAAGTGAGTTTATTTACTAAGATTTGACTTCGCTAGGCCTATGTTCATTTATTTCTCCAAATAAATATTTATCCCAGTGTTGGAGCTTGGCAGGGAAGGTATTTTCCTTTCTTTCCATTTGTCGGGGAGGGTGGGGGACAAGTCTCCTGTTTGTCAAAAGCATGATGTGGCGCTGAAAGAAACTGCACTTGTGAACTTGGCTCTTGTAACACTATAATTGGGGACTTAAAGGAATGCTCCTTCTTTTCATTAATTTCACAGAAGCAGGGAGGAGGGAGTTCAAAATTATACTCCAAGATCTTTGAAGTTTTCATAAGTCTGAAAAAAATTCCATCTATCAGTATATATTATATACTCTTGGGGATAAAGTTTTTCAATGATGTAATGTACTTCTTTTTTTTTTTTTCTCCTTATATCAATATCCAGAGCTCTCATCCCCATTGAATCCTTTGAAAATAAAATACGTCGTGTTTCCTAAAGTAGCATCCTTCTTTGATCCACCATGCTGGGGCATGTTTTTCCACTGAGGACATTGCCATAGGTAGGTCATCAGCACAGCATCACTGCAGGCCAGCAGTCTTGGATTTGAGGAGCATGAACCTGGATTTTTTGTACTGGAAGGGACACCCTTAAATAATATCTTGCCCATTATAAAATATCCTTCACTGTAGTATCAACTTGTAAGGATTTAAGAAAGACTTGGTTCAGCTTTGCCCATGTGATTCAGATTCTATTAGTTATTTCTGCAAATGGGAAGGAGAAAGGAAATTTCTGGGTCCTCTATGAGTTAGTGCAATGAACCTGCAAGGTGCTTGGATTTCGGTGACCAGAAAATTGCTCTCACCTCCATGTCATTACGCTCCCAGTGAACTAGCCCCCAAGCGTGTTTGTGTTGGGGATCTAATATATTGCCTTTCAATCAGAGCTGAGAGCCACTGAACACACAGACAGAACATGACGAGCAGGTCAGGAAAGCAATAAAGATTTTACAGAGCTGTCCAAGGTGCTAAATTTACTCAATAATGGGTTTGGCACCATAGTGTTAACCTCTCATTTACTACCAGTTTGAGGGACTAAATTGAAGTAGCTGACTTCATTTACCTTGAAATGTATATTTTATGACATTATGTAAGTAGATTGAAAGGGCACTGCAGTTTTAACAATTTAAAGCCTAAAGCACGTTTAAGATGAAACTTGAATATTTATTGTATATTGCACTTAAAGTATATAGAATGTTAAAATGTATTGATTAAATTTGTAAAAGGCATTATAAAAATGACAGGTAGTATAAAAGATGTATGCCTTTTAAAATCAAATTGATAGTATATGCTATCTCTTCTGTGGTCACAAGTGTAATTTTTTTGTAGTTTTATATGGTAATTTGAAAAATCTGTAATTTCACATTAGGAAATGATTGAGCCTTGGATGTTAAAAAAAGAAATTTCCCATAAGGGGAAGAGCTGGATGTTTCATATAATCTTTTGTTTCTAAAATTGTTCCTAAAGCCTTATTTTTTGTGGCATTAGGCAGGAGCACAGTCTAAGGATCCTTTCATTCTAATATGCAATTTTAATATTTCTGAAAAGAAAGAACACTTGACTAGTACTAATATCTAATGTTTCAAGGCATTTATTTGTCAGGGGAGATTTTCTTTTTTTTCATAATGTTTAAAATGTCTCCCTGCTTGTAGATTCAAACATAAGAGTAGATATTAGACAATTCCAAGATAATTAATCCTATCCTTGGATTTTTTTAAAAAATCCCTTTTGGGAATTAAAAAGACAAATACTAGTATCCTAAATATTGAAAAGCCCTAGAGTCTCCTTGTAGAGGTAAATGCTTTTTCTCCAGTCTACATCCTAAGTCAGACAATTTTTCTGTTTGTGGCTTTGGATTTCTTCTCTCTTACTGATACAAAAAAAAGAAAAACAACAACAACAACAAAAAAAAAAACATTTACTCTTTAAAAGCAACAACTTTTCACTGATTGATTTCATCTCAGAATTGAAACCTGGCTTCATCTGTCTTGCTATGACCGTAAGTTGATGGTTATGTGAGTTGGGGTCTATGGAGAAAAATGTGGATACATTATTCTTACGCTATTTAGAGTCTACAGAAATGTTAGGGAGACTCAGGGAGACATGGGGTTCCAAGAAACAGTTCAAATGTAGCTGGCATGGGTTTTACTTGTATTTTGGAAGCTTTATAATAAAAATGCTGAATGGGCTACAAATATAAAGATAGGATTAAGATGCAGCTTTACTTTCTAATTTGCAACCCAATCAATTAGCAAATATTGTTTGACCTTCTTCTTGCCCTCGTCATCATATGTGGATCTTATTCTCCAGCAACTTTCAGGGCATGTTATCTTCCCAGCACTGACCTACAAGGTTTGATGACAGTCACAAAAGATTGTTGCCATCATCTGGTCCCACCATCTTTATCCAATCTTCTCTTCCTATGTATTTGAAGAACTGCTCTCTATGCTTGTCCTCCTAGCTTAGAAGTAAGACATTTGGCTCCTTTTATCTCCACACCTTCGCTCCTTTTGCCTTCCCCTTTCTTAGGGAAAATGCTGGCTTCAATCTGTGCCCATTGCCAATGTCTCTCTCCATCCTCGGAGGCCTGGTACTGAAGGGGATTGCAATGAAGGAGATAACTCTCATTTATTCAAAGTGGAACGAGAACTCATTCAATCTTCATAGAAAGCCTTTTAAGGTATTCTTTCTATTACCATCTGGCAGATGAGGAAACTGAAACTCAGAGAGGTCAGCTAACTAGTGGCTGAGCATGGATTCAACCCCAGGCCTGTTAGCCATCAAAGCCTGGCTCTTGAAAATCACACTGTTCTATCAGAAATAATACCACCTACACTGATACCCCAGCTCCTAATCTCTCTAATTCCTCTAAGAAAGAGTGCTGACAATCTTTGTCACCCAGCACAGCACAGAAGTACATACTGAGAGGCCATCTTGCTCTGAAGTGTATTAGTCTTCATTCTCCACAGCTAGACTGTAGACTTTTTGAGGCCAGGGATAGGTCTTAATTTCCTTCTCTAAGCTCCTAGCATAATGTTTAGCAAACCACAAATCTTGAGAAACTCATGTTGGTGCATTATTTAAAAAGTGCACACTTAATTTGTATGATGAAATGACAAAGTCATATATTTGGCATGGTTTACAGAAGTAGGAGGCTTAAATTTGGTGTTCCATTTAGCTACAGTCTTTTAAATCCAATATATAAATTCCCAAAGGTCAAGTTTTGATCACTGTGAGGTTTTTTTTTTGGTCACTTTTTTATGAATTTGCTCTTTCATTCCTGCTGGCTTAGACTTACATTTTAATTTTGTGATTAATACAATGAATCATGTCTAGTACAGACATTATCTCAAGTTATAGGCTGCTAGCAATATGAGGTTGGTCCTTATGGTCCTCAGCCCCTTGTTAGCTGTACTCTTAGGCCCTTGGAAATAGTTAGGTATTGGCACATTCACAGAAAGACACCCTGGTAACCAGGCATATCATGACAAATATGCAGACATAGTTAACTCATCTTTTCTTCTATTTTATGACATTAAAAATCTTAGGATTATTCAGCATCTGTGGGAATCTTCTCCTTAGCATTGACTTGAAATCTAGCTAATAAGCTCAAGTTCATTGGCCACATCTAACCTCCTAGAGTGAAGGGAAAGGTCGTCTAACTGGTCAATACTGGACCCAATTATAAACCCAACTTAATGTTTTGGGTAACTCAACCCTAGATGAGCAGGGAAGATAGTCTGACCTTTCTTTTGTTCACGGCACATATAGACCAACTCATAAAGATAATAGATACACATGAACACATTAATTTTCAAGTTTCAGCATTAGATTTTGAGACTCCGGGAATTCCGTCCATAAACCTAAAGCCCAGGGATGCTTTCGTAATTTGGGAGGATAATCTGCTTGGTTTTATACTTATCCAAGTAGGAAATAATGTTTTCAGGGACGTAGATGGAAACAGAAAAAAAAAAAAAAACCTACAAGCACCAATAATTAAAGTCAAGTTGAGTTGGGCAATTCCTGAGAAAGAAGCATAATTCTTCTCTGTTGCTGCACATTTCCCTGATACGCATTTATCACCAATCCACTTTATTTATCAGGGGATTCAAAATGTAGTGGCCAAATATTAGCAACATACAATGAAGTGAAATGGCAAAATCACTCTTGATGTAGAGATGATATGTGCTTATCAATGAAATCAGCATTGATTTCACTGCCCTCCTTCATACAGAGTTTACTGCAGGACCCAGATTTTGAAGTGTACCTTCAGCTCCTAGACTTTAGCTCCTGGCTCTTTTCCCACCGGCTTCTGAAGCCTGAATGACATTACTGATTGGAAAGCCCAAATGCTGAAACATTGATTGGAAGTTTCTTGCAGCCCATTTCCTGCAGAGCTAGATGTGCAATGCAATAAATACTAGTTGTCCTGAGATGTATTTCTTTGGAGGGTAGTTTTATATCCCAACTTCCTTTGTGTTTATTCAGCCAAATGGAAAATTCCACAATGGTAGACTTTGCATTCTAAAAAATCAGTGTAATGAGGGCAGTGAGGGAAAGAGTAAAACAAACCAAAATAACACTTGGGCACTGTTTAGTTTCCCATCCTCTGAGACATTCCTTACATTTTTCATTTTTCTTGTAACATGAACTTCTTGAAATAGAGCTTACTGCAGATCATTAGAAGCCTTTAGTGTCACACTTTAAACACTCTTTACTTAGAAGCCCTATGACTGAGAAGAGTCACTTACATTTAGCATGGATATAATTAAACATGTTTCTGTTGAAAGGGGCATTCTCATTACAGCTAAGGACCACTTTAGAGTAAATTGAAATGGAAAGGAGGAACATAAATGAGGTATAGGTAGCAAGTAGTTATTTCCAGGGAGGCATAAAATGCCAAATGTGTAACAATTATATTTTACAACCCCACATTTTAAAGACTTCATAGTATTTTAGTATATAAGAAGATTCAGCGGGAGCCTTGACTGCCTTACAGAGCATTCTAGTGCATACTTGTTGCCCAGGGTCTTTTTTAAAAATGAAATTCTAACCACAGTAAAAAATCTCTAGACATTTCCAGAACAAAGGAATTAAATATTTTGAGTCTACTGCTATTAATAACATAGGCCAAGGTATCAAAAGCATTCTAGTCTAGAGAAAATGCAGCAGGAGGACTTCTTCCAAAACTCTTCTAATTTTAAAGTTGATTTTATGTTCAGATGAGATGACAACCCTCTTACTTCTCAAACATATTATTATGAACCAGCATGTGGCATGGTTGGAAGTAAACCAGAAAGCTTTGCCTTTGTTGAAAACATGGTGTAGGAGACTCTGAATCATATGAAATTAAACTAGGTTGTAAGCTAACGCAGCTATATCAACGTAAGACATACTAACTTACGTGATTGACTTTTACAATGGAAAGAAAAAGGCTGTTTTCAAGCAACTGTTATTGCCTCAATGGAAAAAAAAAATCAATGAAAGTGAAATGAACAAGAGATTTCATCTGAGTTGCAGTTAATACCACTGAAGAGCTATGGATATTAAAAGGTCAACAAATAAATTAGCCAGAGTGTTATGAAATGAATGATTTGGCTCATAATTTTATTGAGTGAAAATTGTTCGCTGCCTATTAGACCAGGTAATTTTTATCTGGTGCCTCAATTACTGTCCCGTAAGCAATAATATAGTTGTAAGAGCTGTTGGTTCGATCGCGTGACCTCTGAGAAGCTGGCTAGGACAGCTGACTTTACTATGATGGATAACTAAGCTTGGGCTCCATGAGGTGCCAAGCTTCCCCTTCCTGCAAGGGGATCTCATAAAAGAAACATTACAGTTTGATTCATTTTACCAAAATGTTCGACTTTTCAAGTGTCAGCAGTTAAGTATAAATTGTGAAACCAGGTATTTCTGAGAAGGGTTATGACAATGGCTTTCCCCTCCCCCCCCCCTTTTTTTTTTTTTTTTTTTTTTTGGTCTCCTGGCATTTTCTTCTAAATGGTGTCATGGTAATTGGTGAATGGGAGCCTGGGGTGCTTCCCGCCACAAATACAGTGAAAAATGGTGTCTGCACCCTTGTGACTATGACCTGCTTGGAGGTACAGAGCTGAACTTGGTAACCTCTGGCAGGATCTTCTTATTCCAATTCATTGTACTGGTTTAAGACCAACGCTGTGGGTTCGGTCCTGCTGAGTGCCTTGGAAATCGACTTTCTGATCAGGATAAAAGTCTCTGCTTAAAGAGAAAGCTCTGGACAGAGGTGCCTTTTTCAGGGGTAGGTTGTAAAGTCAGCACATGAAACAAAAACGGCCTAGAGTCAAAATTACCCTTGAAAATCTTTTAAGTCACCTTTAAGTCACCAAGGCTTGGGCTTTTAGAAAACACAAAAAGCCAAATATTAACTACTTCTGTTTCTCTTTGTCTTTTGGCTGTGGCTTCTCTTTCCCTAAGCCAAGGCTGAATAAATACCTAGCTTGGAAGTAAAAGCGCTGCTCAGTAAACAGAGATGTTTGTCGTGTACGCATACGTGGATGCGTATGTGTGTGTGTTTGGTGTGTGTGTATACAAATGTTTGTGCATTTGTTAGTTGCCTTCATGAACGGTCAGTGAGCCTTAGCCCTGAGGCAGTAAGAGCACACCCTGCGCTTAGCTGGCATCAGGCGTGTCAGCTGTGCATCCTAAGAAGCAAGAAATGTTTACTGCATGCCTGGCACTGCATTATCAAGGTATCCTATTTTTGGACAGATACTGTAGGGATACCATACTATACTGTATAGATACACGAGGGAGGCAAACATATAATTTGCTTTTGCTTCTTAAACTGTTGAACATGAACATCATTGGTTATTATATGTACCTCCAGATGAACAGTATCTGTAAATGATAATTCTCAAGGCTTTACAAATGGTCCTGAGCATAACTGCAATTAAAATCCACTGCTTCAAGACTGTTGGGGCTTGGTACTTACTACTCTAATTCTCCACTGAAGTGTTACTCCTAGATGAAAATAGTGAGCAAGACGTAAGACCTCCTAGCATCTCTGTCCCTAAGGGTTTCAGCCTTTAAGGGGAGGATGTTGGGTGGCTAGAGGCAGAAATGAGTTCACCCCTTGTTTCTCCTGTCACCTACTTTGACCTAATGAGTAATTATGTTCCATGCCCCTCTATGCAGGGTGTGATACAAAGTAGGTTAAACTGAATCCTCCCGATCAAGAGTTCGGTGCTAAAAAAGAACTTGAAAGAGTTCCAGCATTGAGCTATTGGAGAATGGTTATCACAAGTCCCTCCCCCAGTGACTGTGCTGCTGAAGAGGGAAGGCATGGCGGCCAAGGTTTATCTGCATGTGCATGTGAATTCTTCCTGCTGCTTCCACCCGGCTCAGCCCTTTGTGAGCTAACCTCAGTCTAGGCCACCACTTGCCCTCTTCCCTAACCAGGCTGGAAGGGTTTTATGATTGGTTTTGTAGATTGGCTTTTTTTCCTTAAAATTTCTTAATTCTGCTTAGGGATATAGGCTCTGGATCTGGGGTCCAATAGACTTGGCTCAAATCCATGTATTAGCAGTGTAAACACAGGCCTCTGTGTCCTCATCTGTAAAAGAGAGTTAACACCCACACCTGGTTCAGTACATTATATTTAGTTAGTGCTCATCAGGCAATAGCCAGCAATATTATTGACAGTCCCCTCTTATTTTCCAAAGAACTCTGGCAAAATATATGCATTCTTACAGTCATCGTACATTGCATGCCTTGAGTGCTATGTCTGAGATGTAATCCTATTTTCAAAACCCTGTAAAAGACTCTAAGGGGACTTCTGGTTAGGAAGTAGGGGAGGTCAGGAAACCTCCACTTACAGCTGCATAAGCTTGAGCAGGTTACATGTCCTCTATGAACCTCAGTTTCGTCATCTCTAAAATGGGAAGGAAACAGTAATGACCAGCTTTGCCGCAAAATAAGTCAGCTGGAGATAAAATAACCTAAAGAGGTGAGAGTTACAACTTCCATGGGGTCATCGGCTTTTTTAGTGAAGATACCTACAACTTCTTTCCCCAGAGAAATGACATGTGCAGGCATTTACGTGTGCATCTTCATAATGCCCACACACACACAAACAGGAATTCTAAATGCAATTTCAGGGTTGCTAAAACTCCCCAGCTAAAAGAAATGTAAGTAGTAAGGGATACCAAGCCCCTAAACCGAGCATATCAAATGGGGAAATGGAATCTGCCTGTAAGTTTTCTGGTGGATACACGGGAAGGAGGGGGAAATGAACTGCATTCCATAGCTTGTGTTTCTGACAAGAGAATGTAGAGACAAAATGCTTCCTGGAATCAAACTGAAACGTCTTTTTTCTAAGAGCTGACTATACCATAAGATTTGCATTTGTTTCTGTGTTTTTGTCTGAGGAGGGTCACTTTCATTTCAGGATATAACGTTAATAGAGTTTCCTCAAATTAAAAAAAAAAAAAGTAAAGAAATGAGAAAGAGAAAGAGAGATAGCAAGGGCGAGAGAGAGGCTACTGTCAGTGTGGAAGGTGAAGATGCTGAGTTTTTCTTTATCCTTTGCTGAATCCCTTAGTCATCCTCCTTTCTGCTAGGAGGCAATGTGGTTATGCAAAGATTTCTTATTTGTATTTTCACTGATGCGACTGCAGGTTTTGAATTACTGATGGTCTTTGCATAAAGACTAAAACAATAAAAGCATAATTAGAATACATTGTATACAGCCAACTCCAGTTTTATTTTGCCCCAGCTCTGTATTTATGATAAATCACTAAACACGAACACTCTTTAGGGAGGGTGGTTTTAGGTCTCGTCTCTCCACTGAGCAAAAACAGGGCCTGTGACTGGAGTCTGAATTTCAATTTTGCAAGTGTACAGTTGAAGTGAATAATATTTGGCACAATACAGTGCACAACTGAGCCACTAAATGGCTGATTTACTAAATTATTATTAGATGAGCCCTTGCTGTTCCAAATGAAAGTGCAGTCACTGTCTTCCTTCATGGTGTGTTCAAATTGTTCTGTGTTTAAATATTCAGCATGAGGCTAATGTGAACTGATGAACTGAGACTATAAACATTCACTTTCAATACAGATAGAGCGACAGAGATGCAACATATCATGTGGCCCGCAGAGGTGAAAATGATTTGTGTTTAAGGATGTTGCTGCCTACTTCCATTACTTTAAGGTACTCTTAATTAGCCTGGTGTTTGAAATGACTAATCCACATGTACAGAGAGAGCAGCTTCAGGGAGACTGAGATTTTCCATTACCAGTGAAGGAGACGGTACTGTGAGGATTTGCTACCTCTGTATTTCCAAGGAAGCCTTGAGTTTCTTTATGGCGGGCTGGCCACAGAGCACCAGCAGAGTAGCATGTCTGCCAGAGATACTATGGGGCTTGACATTCACTGTTTTTGGAGACCCACCAAAAGGGTCCACAACTCCTCTTCCCCACCATCCACCCCGTGGTGTTCACCTCCCTTATAATCCCAGCCTATACTGCACAGCCACAGGGGTACGCCAGTCACCATGATACTGGCTTCTTTACTGACACCTGCTGGAATGAATAACAACCTTTTGCTCCTTGGACAAATAGTACCCTCCTCTCTCTTCCCCTTTGAGGGCAGTTATAGGCAAGCACTTAAAATACTGTGATCACTTACAGTAGATTAGAATTTTTTATTGGTGCTGTGTTGCCATAACAACATGGAGACAGCAGATGACTTAAGCTAAGCTTGCAAAGCAAAAGGCTGCTCATCTGGCAGTTAAAATGAATACAGTTCATTTCACAAGTTTCCCATATGGACTCTTAGTGTATGGTAATGAGGAGACCATATGGTGAGAGAAAATGCACTGAGAACAATCGGGTTCCACTGGCTGAGTGGGAAGTTGGGAGAGAAAACCCGGGTGAGAGATTCTGGTGTGCTCTCTGGGTTCAAGGTTTGGCTGAGGTTTGTTTGGGATGGTTGTTTTCCAGAGGGGTTTCGTGTTTCTTAATCCGTTCCTTAATATGTCGGCTGTGTGAAATGACAAACATCTTGCAAATTTTGCAATATCGTTCATCACAAACTGTCAGCAGTGTTTGCAAATCTGACTTGCCAGATCTTTTAAATGTGTTGTTCTTAAAAGGCAACAGTACGAAGTTTTTAGACAAAGTGCAGGCAAATTTAAGCACTTCTGACAAGCAGAAACATTAACAGTAATCATTTTAGAAACACTTGCATCTTTTGCCTGCATGTTTAGCTGTAAATAATGCTGGAATGTATAAAAGCTTTAAAGTAAAAATGTAATAAATACTTTTTATTATGTTTCATAAAGGATAAAAAATGCTTTGAGCCATGTCTATGTGTTATCTATACATGTGAACATATAGCGATGGATGGCTCCCATTCTCCTTACTACTAACCAGATTGGAGACCTGGGAGGACAGCTTGAAAAAGGCTCTAAAGTCAATTCTGCACTATACATGCTTCATAAAAGATGAATATAAATGCATTAGTTAGACACGGTGAGCTAAATTAGAAGGTCAGGCAGGGCTGGGAGGGCTGAAAAATCACACAACCAATGAGTATAATTACTCTTTTTTAAGTCTATTAAGTGGTGGTGTTCTACCAAGGCTCAGGGGTATAGGACATGAAGAACAAGATAAAGTAATGTGTATTTATTACTCCCACTGGATCAATTTACCAGATATTTTCAGCTCCATAAAGCAAAATACACAAATGCAGCCTTTGTTACTTTTCTCAAACTGCTTTATTTTCTCTAAAAGAGGGGCTGGCTCTTGGAGAAAAGACGCATTTGCCCTAAGAAGGTCCCCATGCCAAGCCTTCTCCGTAGGGAAATGAGAGAAAGCTGGTGAGACTCTATGTAAGGACGGGGGCCAGGTGTCTGCAGAGGAGAGGATAGAGACGTGTCACCGAAAGGCAGAATTATTTAGGTCTTCATGTCTGCAGGAGAAGTGGGGACGCACCATAGTGAACAGTGACGCTACTGAGCCTAAGAACGTGAGTTTTAATCGTAGTTTTCCCACTTGCTAGCTGTGATGTGATGTCGAATCAAGTCACTCAGACCTCTGGGGACTCTAACTCCTCATCTGTAAAATGGGGAACACCCACGGTGCAGGGATTAGTGGCCCCCATTTACTAGAGTCTTGCTAGTGCCAGGGATGCCTCTTGGCATAAATTATCTCATTATCTCATTAACACCTGACAACAATGCCATGAGGCAGCTGCTCTACAGAGGAGAAACCTGAAGCGCGGGAGGTTGAGTCATGTGCACCAAGTAGTGGATCTCATTTCCAAAACACACGTCTTTCTCACTTGAGAGCCCACTCCCCTGGCCTCTGTACTCTTCGAACACCCCTGGATAATGCAGTGCTGGGCTCACAGTAGGCATGCAGTAAACATTCCTTGCTTCCTAGGATGCACAGCTGACACGCCTGATGCCGGCTAAGCGCAGGGTGTGCTCTTACTGCCTCAGGGCTAAGGCTCACTGACCACTCACAAAGGCAACTAACAAACTGCAAGGGGCGGGGACACCTCTGACCTTGAACACAGAGAGCACTCCTTGCTCAATGTGTCTGGATTGCATCACTGCAGCCATCAGCATCTCAGAATTTCTGATCGACCGCATTCCCAATCCCCTCCACCTCTAAATTATAAGAAAAGTCAACCTTGACCCCAAAGTTGATCACATGTTCCTCCCCTTCCTGCCAGGATCCAGAAAGAAAGGCGAAACTGTATGAAACAGAACAGAATGCTGTGATTTAAAAACCTTAGCCTGCCCTTTTCTCCCTGTGTATATGAAAAAGGAAACCAAAAAACATCTGGGGTTAGCATAATTACAGCATTTTAAATGTGTGTGTACAGCAACTATCACTGATGGTGACTTTCAGGGGCAAAATAATTTACAGAGCAGGATTCCGCTTGCTCCCGTTTTCCTATTTGGTAAATGGGAAAGATGTCTGCTGCCCCAGCTTCTCTCACAGGAGGGACTCCAATAAAACAAAGCAAGTCCAAGTTTTTTTGAAAAAGCACAAGCCTGTATACAAAGGCATATTATTATGGAAAACTGTCTGCTTGGTCTTTGGAGCAGTTTCATTTGACAGAATATGTGGGTGGTTGTATGAATCTAGCTTTGTCTATTCACAAACACATGGGTTTAATAAAGAGGAGTTTGTTTTTTAAGGTGTGTGGTCCACAGCTCACAGAAACACTCCTGTTTGACAAACACTGACCATGATCCTAAGAAAGGCACACCCCATTTTTATCCCCCTAACAATGGACAGCAGGAGTATAAATCTCCCAAGTCCACAGGAATACCTTGTGCTGGCTCCATCCGCCACTTCCTGACCCTGCCCTTGAACTCTTGCTCTGCTTTAACATTCAAAGCCAAGAGGACAGCCACTGGGCTCTGAGTCACGCTGAGAGCTTCCTGGGGTGGGCTCCGGCCAGGCCTTGCACCATCAAGTGGCTGGATGCAAGCGGTGGAGTGTTTCCTTAACACACAAATCCATTGTGTCCTTGATTACTCTTCCCAAACCCAGGAAAAAAGGGCTGGAATTTCACCATCAGGCCACCAGGGACAAAGTGACACGTGCCTATGCTTTTTGTTCAACATTTCTGAACATAACATGCAATCATTAAGGTGTTTTCCAAAGTAAGTACACAAAACTCAAACCTAGATTCCTATTTCTCTCACTTCCTTTCAAATAAGAAAAGGACTGCCTGGTTTCTGTAGACCTCAATCATTAAACCACATTTGTCTTCTAATTTTTAATACTTTTGTTTATTTATTATTTTTTCGAGACAGGGTCTTGCTCTGTCACCCAGGCTGGAGCACAGTGATGGTGTGTATGTCTCACTGCAGCCTCGACCTCCTAGGCTTAACCGGTCCTCTCACCTCAGCCTCCCAAGTAGCTGAGACTACGTGCACATGCCACCATCGCTGGTTAATTTTTATTATTTTATAGGGACAGGATCTTATGATGGTACCCAGGCTAGTATTCAATTCCTGGCCTCAAGCAATTCTCCCACCTTTGCTTCCCAAATTATTGGGATTACTGGCATGAGTTACCTTTCCATAAGTGTTTTTAAAGTGGTAACTATGGGCCAGATGTTATGCCAAGGGCACCCATGAGATGAGGTCTCGTCATCCTTACATGATCCCCTATGAGTTAGCATGATTAATAATTATCCCCATTTTATCGATGAAGAAACTGAGGCACAGAGGAGAAATCACATGCTCAACTGCTCACCAGGATTAGGATTTCCTGCTCTGCAGAGATTTGGTAGAAGAGCTCTCAGAAGCAAAGGTCCCAATCTCACTCAATTGGCAAATCATATTACCTTTTGTTGACTGCTAAATAAGTCATTGAAATAAGACTTTAAAAGGTACGACACATCACCATCCCATTTAACAGTTGAGATCATTGAGGCACAGAGAGGTAAACAATTTTGACCTAGGTTGCATAGCTAGCAAGTGGCCAGTGTCTGAATCCCACCTTGCCCAGCCTGACTCTCCTCAGTATCTCCAGTGGACTCTAGAGAGCAAATGCTAAAGCGAGTGCTAAATATGAAGTGAATACAGCGCCCAAATGGGAACAATGGGAAGAATCTGGCATTGTATCCATGCCTTTGTTCTAGTCCTAAGACAGCTAAGGCATCAACCATTAGACCCACATCATTTATATCACTGTGCTATAAAATTACCAGTTGTCCCATAGGAAATGCATGGGACCATGTTCTTGCTAGATAGACGAACCTAATGGTAAATCTCTCCACAGACCATCTATATCATGGGTGGAGACTGCTGCTGTTTATTATTATAGTTATATTATTTAACATATTAAATAATATTAACCTATAGATTATTTAATTGCTTGCCAAGAATAAATTGGGGTGGAAAAGGAAAGGGAAGGACAGGACTTCAGTGGAAAGTAAGGTGGTTTCTGGGAAATTGAAGGTTGAAACTGAAGCCATCATGTCTGAAAACTGAAGGTGTTTTTCCCCCAAAGTCAAGAGGCCCTTGCTCATCACAACACTTCCTCTCTTGGAGCAGTGAGCGCCCCTCCTCCCCACGCACCTTGTGTCTGTGTAGTGATGTGAGAGGTAGATTTCTCCTGGACAGGACAAGGGCAGCCAGCACACAGGTAGGATTTGATGACAGAGTGATCCCCCAAGGAGGTTCACCAAGCTAAGAAGGATGGCAACTTCCTTTTCACAGGTGTTTTACAAGGATATATGGACCTGGAAAGGGCGTATCTCTAGACTTACTGTGGCAAGGAAGAGTCCTTGAGACGACTCATTCAGTGTAATATTAATAGCTTTCACTTGTGCGGTAAATGAAGTTTTTTGCTGTCAGTAAACAGTGAATAGAAGCTCAACTAATTCTGTACTTTGAACTCCCTTCACATTTACCTGCCCTCTCCTCTGAGTCCTCACAGAATGTTGGTTACGATTAGTTGTTTGGAACACTCTACCACATAGAGCCCAAGTTCCTCAGGTACAGGGATAGGAATATCCCAGACATTCACAAAGGTACACCATAGTCAATAGAGGTCAGTTTCCTTCTTTCTGCACTGGTCATTAATGACAGATGACCTCTGTCTTGATTTTTTGTTTAATTTCTGTCATATTTGTTCCTGTTTTCCTAACTAGGTAGAATGCCTAAGGAGAGAGAGGTTGTCTTCTTTGTCCAGTCTCAAGATCTACCAACACATTTTGAGCTCTAACTATTCTCCTCTTGCCAGGACTAAGTGCAGATCCTTGTAGAAGAAAATTTGGTGTTCCTATTTCTTTTGAGAATTCTTAAGAAATAGCGATTAAGTACCCCAGCCTCTAGCTGTGCTGCCTAGGTTCGAATCTCAGTTTAGCAATTGACATGCTATGTGACCTTGTGTAAATTATTTAATCTCTCTGCTTCATTGTTTTCTCTTCTAAAATAGGAATAGTAATAGTACCAACATCAGATTGTTGTTGAGCGGATAAAATGGCATAACAGATGTAAAAGTAAGCATGACGTTGCCTGGCACATACGTGTTTGCTACTTTTATTATTACTTATAGTACCAAACACACACAAATCTGAGTGACCTATGAACTAATTTTTATCAGTAGCAGCACGTTTCTGCAAATCACTCAAGTCCAAGTTTTCAGAGACTACAACTCAAAAAGTCAGCATCCTCACCTTTGGCAAACGCTCAGGGTCACCAGGGTGCCGAGGAATGACCTTCTGTAACCTCTGGAAACCATAATCGATGGTGGGTTCGTTGAGCGCTGCAACAAAGAAGTCACACAATTAGCACATTTTCGAGAAATAAAGCAGAACATGGCTTGTACCAGTAATGGTGTGGAAATAACCAGCAAGTTCAAAGTTTAACTGATACTTTTGAATTGGATCACAAGATGATTGTGTGAATGATCTCTTCGCTGAACTTTTCCACCATCTGCTTCTGCTTTATACCAAGATGTGGAGTGACTTGCCCAGAACATTAGGAGTAGGTCTCGAGCAGTGTTGCTTTGGCCAAATTCTACATTCCTTATGTGACCATAAACAGAAAGTGAAATGGTATTTGACATGACATTTTTAGGATTCACTTTAATTTTGTTGCTCAGGTAAAAACACTTGGGCTTTTTAAAATTCTGCTGTTTACAATGTATAGATACCACCAGGGCTTGCCTGGTGACATCTATACATTGCAAACAGCAAAATTAACAGTATCTGCTTAACTGCAAAATCCCTAGTGGAGCTCAGCTGATATAATATGTCAGCACAGTCATGCAGGAGGCTGGTGAGAGCAGAGGAGAGAGTAGAAATGAGTCTCTGAGGTGTGGAAAGCCGGTGCCACCCTTGAGAGAGTCTGCAAGGGGGTGGATATTGAAAATGCCCTGATTCAGTGGGACATATACACCATGGAATATTATACGGCCATCAAAAACAATGAGTTCATGTCCTTTGTAGGGACACGGATGAACCTGGAGACCATCATTCTCAGCAAACTGACACAAGAACAGAAAATGAAATACTGCATGTTCTCACTCATAGGCGGGTATTGAACAATGAGAACACATGGACACAGGGAGGGGAGCACCACACACTGGGGTTTGTTGGGGGGATTAGGGGAGGGACAGTGGAGGGTAGGGAGTTGGGGAGAGATAGCATGGGGAGAAATGCCAGATATAGGTGAAGGGGAGGAAGGCAGCAAATCACACTGCCAAGTGTGTACCTATGCAAGTATCTTGCATGTTCTTCACATGTACCCCAAAACCTAACATGCAATTAAAAAATAAATAAAAGAAAGAAAATGCCCTGATTCGAAACCCTACATCTGAAATGATCGATCCTTTCACCAACATTGAAACTATTTGGGACCAGCATCTGTGTAGTACTAGCTCAGGGCAGCTGAGTCTCCAAGAACAATCCTTGAAAAGACCAAAAGAAGAGCAAACCTGAAAGAACATTTGGAGACAATGGACCTTGCTGTGCACACATTGACCACACACTCTTCAAAGCATCCTTAAATTAAAAACATATTAAGTGGACTTTGGTCTACCATTTTCAAAATTTGTCCCTGGTATATGAAATATCTTCAGGCTGTCTCACGTGAAACGGTAGAAATGGAAAAAATGGCAGCTCCTACCAATAGCCTCCATATCCCTGTGTTCTCTAAGTAAGGGGTAGGTGGGTGTTTTTAAATTTTTTCTTTTTTAGTGTAATCGAAGTGTTCAACCACATATTTTCTCACATGCTGAATAAAAAAGACAATCGTTGTAGTTCTGACATTTAGCTATACATTAGAAAACAAGTTGCCACATGCTTTACTTAAAATGCATTTCCATTAACCTAAATTTTAAAAGTAAGATTCATACTAGTACTAACTTTAAAAAACTGTATTAAATTCAAATAGGTCCCAAGGCTAATGGAAGCAATTTGTATACCAACCCAAACTGACTGGCCCACTTTTCAAAATACAGGTATGATAATCTTGTGGTTTTAAAAGGACATTTAAATTGAAAGACTGTGAATTTCGTACATAATTATACCAATAGAACCCTTTAACTTGTCAACTTGTAAATCTAAAAGGCTATCAATCATTTCTAAAGAGGAAATAAACCTTAAAATTCCTTGATTGGCAGTGCTTACTTTTTATGTAAAGGGGGGAAAAAAAAGAAAAAAAAGGCTGCATAAAGTGGCCAGAAATCCATTTACAAAAGTACATTGTTTTACATAGGTGAGTAAAAAGCCAATAATTACACCTCCAAAAGACACATAAATCAGAGTAAGTACTTTTTCTTCACTTGTATATTTTAAGTTAGAGTGAACTTTAGGTAACTTTTTATTAAAAAGATTTTTTTCCCCAAGTGGAATGCTTATTGAAGTCATTAATAGAGTGGCATTTTCATTTAAGATAATGTAATCATCTTTGCAAATATGAGATTTAGTCAACCCCCGCCCCATTTCCAAACAGTAAACTTTCAACCTATCTCTTGTGGAAATTAGCTAAAATTACACCCCTGTGTACCAAATCTTTCTATCTATACTAGTATATGAGTTAAGGCACAATATTTATTATTCCTTCCATTTTATGAATTAGTTTCTAAACCCTTGAGAAGAATTCTTTTTTCAAATTAGACTTGTAGAGAAAATGCCATAGAATTCTTTATGTGGGGAAGCTGTTACTCGTAAAATCCACGGTATTTAATCAAGAAATGCAGGAAAGAGTCAGAAGTGAGCACCAAGGTTTCAGTTATTTATCATATCCACCCCCACCCATAATGCTAATTGCCAACAAAAATGTTTAACCATAAATAGTAGCTTTAGACAATTAAATGCATCCTTTTAATATCGGAAAACATAATTCAGCATCCTGAAAAATTCTAATTCTTAGGTTTATTTTTCAGTCTAAGATAGCAATAAAATTTGAATGGTTGTCCCACCTCTTCAATCATTAGCATAATAAATTCCTATTGTGTCTAGAAGCCCATGGTTGTTAACTGAATGACTGTCTGATGTATGGCGGGAAGGATATGTTTCTCCGGCTACATGGCCAACTCACAGAAGAATGACCGACAATATCAGCAATTAAAAGAACCAATTCAAATATCATATGGAACTAACAGCTAAAGAGCTAAGGAGAAGTCATTCTGTTGCCACACAGTTATTGAATTAGACATATTAAACTGATTATTCAAAGAAAAATAAGGATTTACTCCAAGGAAGTGTACTATGTGAGAGGAAATATTTAAATAGTAAGGCAAAGGCTTATTTCCCATGCCTTTATGATTTGCTTTCTGCTCATAGTTTTAAACAAGTTAACCTGCCCGCCATACAGGTATTGAATATCACAGTGGAATTGTCCAGTTCTGGAGACAAAGCTGACTGTCCTCAATTCAGAGGAACTTGATGATTTATCTGATTGCCTTGACTAGAGAAAAAAAATTAAACCAATTACTGAGTGGTGGGGGAGCCATCTGACAAAGATTATTGTAACTGCCCTCACAAAAAATTATCTGGGAAGTGGGGGATGGTTAATGTAAGGCACTCCCATGGAATAGAATTTGATGCGATCCTCAGAAGCAATGTCATAGGTAAAAAAGCATTTACTGATCTATTGCTTAGTTTAAAAGATTACAGGAGCATGTGTACAATATGGTTACTTTTTTAAAGAAACATATATAGAAAAAGAAAATGTGTCTGTGTATAAACTACCAAACAGAAGTTGTTTCTAAGCAGTGGGCCTTAGAGTGCTTTTCTTCCTGCTCTTTTTTGCTGTGCATTTTTTCTAAATTTTCCACAATGAATATATATTACTTTTATAATCAGAGAAAAAGGCTAAGAGCAAGAGATTGTTGCTGAGATGGAATTTGACCTGCTTGTGTAAAGTAATGACATAAGAAACTATGCTTTAAAAGGGGTCTGTATACCCTTTAATAACCTTGCAGAGGTTATTACAGACCATAAGAAAAATTAGTAGTATACTTTTGGCCAGTTGTATAAATATGCGACTATTCATAAACTCTCTGAAAATCAACAGAGAGGGTAACAGGGAGGAATCATAAAGAATGGTATATTTATTTCATCAGTGGGGGTAGTCATACCTTAGGGACATACATCTACTCTGCAAGAATGTAATATAAAGTTAATCCTTCAACAAAGTGACCTCATTGTACTCAAGCGCAGGGCTCAGGAGGCACCAGAAGAAATGGGACTAACCAATTTCTTCCCCCTCAAACTTGGGACAATTCTGAGAATCTGGTAGAGAAAGAAAAAAAAAAAAGGAATTGGACACAATTAACTACAAATAAAGAAGCATGAGCATCTTAGATTGAAAAAAGAAAAACAGATGAAGCTGTAAACTGCAAGAGGAATGGAATGATGAGAACAGCTTGTGTGGCCCTGCTTCCAAATACCCAGTCCACACTCTCTGAAAAGCGTTTGAGAGGGCGTCACCCTAACCCAGTTAGCAAGGGTAATCGAATAAGGAAGGAACACAGGTTTAGAAGAATCCATTATCCCAAATAGAAAAGCCTCAATGTTTACATCCTGAGAATAAAATGGGCCCAATGTATGCATTTTAAAAATTCCAAGGCATTAAACTATACATTTATTCAGTAATCATTTTTAGTGCTTGCCATGTGCTCGAGGGGGCGGGGTGGCATTTATAGGAATTAACTGTTTTGTGTCACAACACCATAAGCCCTTAAAAACAAACTTTCTGAAAGGTACACGTAATCCAACCCCAAAAGACAGATGAAATCCTCTACTTGCAGAGCTGGGATGCAGGTCAGCATCTCACAGCCAGTCTTCCCTCCCGCCCAGGAATCCCTTGCCTGATCCTCCTCAGAGTCACCACCTCTGCTCCTCTTTCTGACAAAGTCTTCACTAGGGTCACAGCGCACTTAATGGGGATACGTTAATTTAAAGAACAATCAGGCTATGGAGGGGCCACAGCAATTGAATTCCAGCTGTCTTCCACTGACCCCTTCAAACTCATTTACTGGTAGAAAGATATTTACTGAACCTGCATAGTAGGACTTCTTGGAGTTGTATACAGCCTATGGAGGGGTATATCTGAAATGTTCCTGTAAATACATATAAAGCAAGATTAAATCCTCCTGAACAGGAGAGCAAGCTTGCAGGGCAGATGTTTCAGAAGGATCCCCTCACCCAGAGCTGTGATTTGATATTGGGGAATGGATATTGGTGGGATGTATGTGCTTTATGCACAGGATGCCATTTCAACCGTATCAACATTACTACTTTTGAAAAAGTAAGAGTTTATTCAATGGTTATAAAAATCAAACCATTTTATCTGGCTTTATGTTGGGATTGCTTGTGGAGAGCTTTAGGTTCCTTCCAGATCTCATCATCTCAGCTTCCCTAAAGGAAACCAGTAACTTTCTATTCCAAACCAGTCTCTCAGCCTTTCTCTTTGTGGGCTTCAATCCAGGTGGTGGTCAAGACGGAACAGCTCTGGTTCTACAGAGCTATAATGTCTCATGTCCAGGTGTGCATGCAGCATGAAATGCTATATGCAAAGAAAATCGAGATAATACAACTAGATTTTATGCACTCATACTAATCATGAGCTTCTAAAATTCAATTGAAAACTTTTTTTTCTTTTCTTTGAGACAGAGTTTTGCTCTGCTGCCCAGGCTGGAGTGCAGTTGTGCAATCTCGGCTCACTGCAACCTCCGCCTCCTGAGGTGCATCCCATTAGCTGGGATGCACCACCAGGCCCAGCTAATTTTTTGTATTTTTAGTAGAGATGGGGTTTCATCACATTGGCCAGGCTGGTCTCGAACTCCCAACCTCAGGTCATACACCTACCTCAGCCTCCCCAAGTGCAAGGATTACAGGCGTGAGCCACCGCGCCTGGCCAAAAACTCTTAATAATAAGTGAATTCTAACCAAATATACATGTGGCCTTTTCATGCCTATAGTCTGTTTTTATTTATTAAAGAAATCCACCTCACAATCACATCAAATAAAGAAAAGTCTCTGTAAGGGGATTTATTTGCAAATTAAAATCATGTAGTTAAGCCAGATGCATTCTCAGTTATGAAAATTGATTTTTCTCTTTTTGGAGTTTCTTTTTAAAGAAGTCACTCCTCCGTCCCCCTTAACTTCTTGACTACTTATTCCTGGAAACAATGGAAATGAGAGGCTGCAGAGTTCTGTTGAGAAACATCAGGGGAAAAGTGCTTTGGGTGCCATTCCAACATTGGCTCACAGAGTTCCCTGCTTTTATAGCTCAGCGACTCACTGCCGTGCTTTCACATATTTCTGGGGTTTTAATTTCCTTTTTTTAATGGTTGTGTGACATGATGTCATTTTGACTGGAAATAAAAAGAAATGCAGATATTAGGAAGGCAATATTAATATTCTATTGCCATTTAATGTCCAAACAAATATCTGGACTCTATGCCAAGTAATAAATAAAACCTCATAGCGGAGGCAATGATAAAACTAGCACCTGGGTCTCCAAGCTTCCCTGGTGACTACTCTATATTTGAACTAAAGGAGTAACAGCACCGCATTTCCCTCCAAGGCAGATCCATTCTGGGCATGAGAGTTATTACATATGTGTTAGGCAGAGCCTTTTTGTTCCATAATGGCCCCATTTTTCCCTCAGTCACTAAATTAACAACCAGAGGTAAACAATAAAACAGCAAGTTATCTTCACGAATCTATCTTTAAGACCAAGTTTAAAATATATAAACCGAAAAATCAACCAGAAACCTAAACAAGAGCCAGAAATATTGTTTACGAGGAAATTTGTTGCATTTCCAGCCATTTGGATATTTCATTACCTGCCTAGATGTTTGATGCACAAAAAGCATGCCAGATCACCTCTTCCGTGGAAGCGATACACTTCCTAAGAAACCTAACACCAAATTCATTGTAAGTGGAGCTCCAGCTTTCCCGTGAAATGCTTTTACAGGCTGGTGCCCCTGCCTCCGGAGTGAGTGGGGCTCGGGAGGGCTTCAGGGGCCGGCTCCCTGACCAGAGAAAGCTGTAACTTTCTACAACAAGAAGGATGTCAAGACAAAGCCAGCATAGGCAGAATTAACCAATACAGAAGCCCGAGGAAAATTTCCAAACTGCCTTTGAACATGCCCTGATTTCTTATTTGTAGTCTTCAAGTCTCTTGATGTATGACAACAACTTTGAGATTCAAAAATCAAGCAAAGGAAGCAATACCTCTCTCTACCACAGGCACAATCAGCGGTATTAGGTGCCTTGAGTGGCTACGTCCCTTTTACAAGAAAGTGCAGCCAGGCCAACAGGCAAAGCAAAGGCTGAAGACACAAGGTGGACTGAAAAGCAAAGGCCCTAGGAGGATAAAGCAGGGGCGCTTGGAGGAAGACATGAGGTTAGATCTCAGGACCATAGCTTGGAATGCAAATAACTTGCATATGTTTGGAAATTAACAACTCTTGGAGAAGTACAAGCAATCAAGAAGAAGAATAAAGAATTAAAAGACTTGCTTTGTTTTTCAAAATAAAATCATCTTACTGTTTTTCTAAATCTAAAAGTAATATTAACATGCTTATTATATAAAAAATGTTTTAAGGTGGGGAAACTCCCATAATATCCCCCCATTCTCATAGAAGCATGATTTATATTTTAGTATGTATGCTTTCAAACATTTTCACAATACTATTTTATAAAAATATAGATTATATACATACTTATGCCTGTCTCTTTGTGATATTTGTAGCTTTCTATATTATACAGATGGACATAATTTACGTAACAAATCCTCCATTAACTGTAATGCAGGGTTTTTTTCCCAAAATTTTCACTGACTTAAGAAGCACTATAATGAACAATTCTCAGGATAAATTGCTGGATAAAAAAAATATGCACATTTCAAGTCTTTCAATATACATTTCCTAACTATCCTTCATAAAATTTATCCCAATTTACATTTTGACAGGTTACTTTCAAAGGCATCTGCAAAGAAAAACTAATTTTTATGATTTTACATCTTAAACTCAATTATTCTCCAAGTTAGAAGGACCTCTGAAGATTGTAGATTTAACAGTCACAATAATTCCTTGCAGAGGTGTCATTTTCAACATACCCTGAGGTCATATAAGACCCTTTTTCCTGTCGTAGCAAAGTGCTTTCTAGAAATTATCTCATTGGTTCCTACAATATGCCCTTGACATAAATGTTAAAAATTACCACTCCTAATTCAAAGGTGGGAAACTAAGGCACAGAAAAAGTTGGTTGCATTTATTAGCACAGAAGTCTCATTGTTTATATTTATGCAGTGTTTGGCTTACTATTCCAAGATGACTTATTTTATTCATTTTTATTTATTTATTTTTTAGAGATGGAAGTCTCGCTCTGTCACCAAAGCTGGAAAGCAGTGATGTGATCTCGGCTCACTGCAACCTCTGCCTCCCGGGTTCTAGCAATTCTCCTGCTTCAGCCTCCTGAATAGCTGGGATTACAGGTGTAAGCAGCCATGCCCGGCTGATTTTTTTTGTATTTTAGTAGAGACAGGGTTTTGCTGTGCTGCCCAGGCTTGTCTCAAACTCCTGAGCTCAGGCAATCTACCCACCTTGGCCTCCCAAAGTGCTAGGATTATAGCGTGAGCCACTGTGCCTGGCCCACTGTTTTATTTCAATATTGATGAACCTCAATTTGCAGCACATTGACAAGTCCTGATACCAAATCAATTAAACTGCTTTTTTTTTTTTTTTTTTTTAACTAAATACATGTGAAACACTAACAGGAATCTGTGTGCCCAGGCTCCTGACATGTTACACATGAATAAGCCATGTGGTGGCCTGATTTTCCGTAAGGCCCACCATGTCAACAAATACAAACCTTTCAGGGAGGCCACCCTGGTATTTTAAACTCTCCCCCAAATGCTCAAGAAACTATGTTTTCTGACACATCAAGTTCTCCTGATGGGCTAAGCCTACAAGGAGCTCTCAGATGCTGATTTGACTTTAGAGAAAAAGAGACAAATGCTGTCTCTCTGAGATACATTAAACCAACTTATATTACAGTTGGCTGGTATTTTCTAGAAGATGTGCAGTGAGAGGTCACTGAGAGAAGTGGAGCACCTCTTCATGAACAGACCCCTTTCTTGCCCTGCAGGGCGACACTCTTTCTAACATGAGAAGTAGGTGAACTTCCAATAATTAGGAAAAACTGCTCTCTAATTGTAATGAAGTTGATGAGAAAACCTGCCCCTGTTATTGTGTGTGATGTGCTCTGAACAGGATGCCCTTCCAGGAGTCTTAGAGACCCAAATTTGATCCAAGTTGAAAACTAAAATTATTAAATCCCTCGATCAAACAGAAGTTTAATGTACACAATTTTTTTTTTTTGACGTTTCAATCTTTTTCATTCTGGGCATTTTTTTATTTGAATCATTTATGATTAGGTTTCAAAGCCAAATTTTCTCCTTTAAATGAGAAGAGAAGAATGATTTCCACTGTGTAATGGATGATGGCGTTTAAATACTGGAGACCAACATATTCTGTCTTTCTTAACATTTAAGCATACATCCATAATTCTCTTTCCTACTGTCATGGTTTCTGATGTAACAAGAGTAATATTACTTCTATAATTGTGCTTCAGATTTCTTCCCAAAGAGTTTTGACATTAGCTGTTATCGAGGGGGTAAAATCACCCAGCCTGTCTGATAACCATGTTGCCTTATATCCCCACCCCAGCAAGTGCTGTGACACTGTACTTTTATCATCCAGTGTGTGTTCAGAATGAGCTTAGAACAGCAATTGCCGGGAATAGGCAGGCGATAAACCGCATTGATTTAACACATCTTGTTTTCAATCATGCTTGGATTTTCTGAGCACGCATTTTTCCTGTACTCTGGCTTGTAGCTTTTATCTGACGAGCTGATCCCTTTTCACTGGAAAATGAAAAGGTCGCACAATAAGACACGGTTTACTGGAACTTGAACACGCACCAGGGAAAGTATTTTAGATAAATACTGTCAGACATAGTGGAGCTGAATTTCAACAACACAATTGCTAAACAACAATACTTATTACTCTCCTAGAACAAGCCTACCAGCGACTTATGGCTCTCAGCAGGGGACAGCACCGAGTCAGGCTCCAAGGCAAAGAAACGCTTCTCTGAGCCTTACGCTAACCAAACGCGGAGTTCTGGGCTCAAGTCCCACTTGTGATTGTTAATATCATGGTTTTATGAGACAACTCAGAAAATGACTCCCACTGTTCACAGAGTCATTTCCTCCAAACCAGTGGACAGGTTTCAGGAGACTTGTAATGAAGTTACAACAGAGCTCTGCAGACGGTCAGATTGGGAAGGAAAAAACAAATCTCAAGAATAGTGATAAAAAAGTGACGCCAAATCATCCATTAATTCCACTAATAAGACAGGAAAGTACTTGTAACTGGAAGACCTCAGAAGATTAAGTAATTATTTGGTAACATTTTAATGGAATTAAAGAGAACTTCTAACAAGTACGCCAAGTGGACAGCTACAGTGGCCTTACTGATAAGCCTGCAAGTTTTTATCAGCCAAAATTCCAACTTAAATAGCATCTTGATTTAAAAATAAATGAAGTCAGCCTTCTTCAGTATTGACCCAAGCTAAGTGATTATTTTTGCTGAGCATCTTGATCCTAAGAAGTCTCCTCCCCCTATTATAGTCTAGAACCATTTTCTTTTAACGCACATTTTGCTTACACATTTATTCATTGTCTGTTTCAGGGCTCCTCAAACTGTCTCTGTTCACAGTACCCTGAATATCTCAGCAATCCCTTCAGAGCATCCCTAAGCCAAAAGAAATGCCCAGCAGTTCTGTTTATTAGCTACTCAGTTGCAAACAGCTTAACCTTTATGTTCCAGCAACTCAGTAGGACATAAATATTTGAAAAAAACAATATAAAGAAATTGACAGAAAAATATAACATTTTATTTCATTTAAAAATAACCACAATTTGCTAATGAAATGTGTGTTCCTGTTGGGCACCATACAACTTTGCATACCTCGGAATCAGACTGAACACTGCCACCCTCGTTTTCTATTCCATTTTGGTTTTCACATGGCACTTCCTTTTAACCACAGTAACTGCTGAAGACCAGCTTTGCAGAGGTATCACACCATCAAAAGGATGGGACAGTGGATCACGCCTATAATCTTAGCACATTAGGAGGCTGAGGGAGGAGGATAGCTGCAGCCCAGGAGTTGGAAAGCAGCCCGGTCAATAGAGTGAAACCCTGTGTCTACAAAAGATTAAAAAATCTGCCAAGTATGGTGGTGCACAACTGTGGTACCAGCTACTTGGGAGGCTGAAGTGAGTGGGAGAATAGCGCGGAGGATGAAACCACAGTGAGCCATGATTTCACCACTGCACTCCATGGGTGACAGAGCAAGACCCTGTCTAAAAAAAAAAAAAAAAAAAAAAGATACAGTATAATGTAATATTGAATTTGGAACTACCTTAAACTAGCAGTTTACACAGTATCTGATGTACTTAAAGTATCACTGTTTCCCTCAAGTTTAAAATATCTCATAGCATCCCAAGGAGCTTGTAGGGACACCTTAGTCGATGTTTAGAAAACATGGATTCACTCAGAAGCGTCAAATTAATCAAATGCTAAGTGCTACAATGAATTCCATTCATTCATGTGTATCTTTTCCTCTTTTAATAATTACAACAGCAGCAGCAGCAGCAACTCACACTTCCTAAGGACTTACTGTGTGCCAAGCACTTTATATGAACTAACCTATCCTTCACAACAACTCTACAAGGAGGTGCTATCTTTATTCCCATTAGACAGAGAAGAAAACTGAGGCTTGGGGACTTAATACTTTGCCTAAATCCACAGAGCTAATGAATGAAGGGGCTGGCATTCAAACCCAGGCAGTCTGCCTTGAGAGCCCTACTCTGAATAGATTAGCTCTAATAGATTAGAGCAGCCAAGTTAGGCCACCAAGGGGTCTTCAGAGCAGATCTCTAATAATTTTGGCTTCCAGGACTTTTCTGACGCTACTTTTGCTCTTCATATAACCTTTTATCTACAATCTGTCTTAGTCCATTCCTTTGTCTCAATTTATATTCCATGAAAACACTCCAGACCGCGTTTGACTTCCATTTTCCTAATAACCACTCTTCTTCCCTTTGTCCCAATCCTTTTGGAGTAAGACTCGGCTAGATTGCAGCCAGGCTACATCATTGATTGGATATATGTGCCTTTTGGAAAAGTCACTTTCATTCTTTAAGTCTTCCTCAACTGTAAAGTGAAGATTTAATGTGCTGTTATTTGTACAGTGATTAGCACATAAATACTCAACAGGCAGTTGTTATTACTATTAATAGTATACAAGCCATGTGCTGGAAACAGGGGCAGGTGCAGTGAATACAAGACTAATTAGACATATTTACATATTTCCCACTCTCAAGGAACACAAGTCTAGAGGGGCAGAAAGACACAAACAGAATTCTGAAACAGTGTGGCAAATACAACAGCAGGAAGACTCGGGATTCTAGAACATCGGGTGTGTTTCACTTGTCCCTGGGGGTCAACCTTCTCCCTCTCCTTTACACTAACTGGGAATTACAATTCAAACAATTCTACCACCTCTGGTTCTCAAATATTACCCTGAAATTGAGCTCTATCTGGAATAGGACACAACCATTTTAAGTTCTGTGAACATAGAGGGGGGAAAAACAGGTAGGAGATACCTAATTAAGACTGGATTCATTTCCAGACTTGAGATGTTTTGTACTGTTTAATTAACTAAATAAAACTGCAGGCTTGCTGTATACAAGGCCCTGTGCTTAAGAAGGTGAAAAGAAAAAGATGTACAACACCCAAGTCCAGTGCCCTGTGCATCCCCAGCTGGAAATGATTCCATCCAAAAAACTCTTCTAGGCACTGTGCCATACCCTTGAGGAGAACATAATCCAGTGGGGAGACAGGCCTGCAATTGGCTACCCCAAAAGATACAGAACGGTAGCATTATTAATGTACAATAGCACTGCACAAAAGGAGGAAAAACTAATTGCTGTAATCGAGTCAGGGAAATTTTTAGCTCAAATATCTGAGTTGGGTGTGGAAAGATAAATAGGATTTTTCTACTGAAAAGGACAGGAAAAGCATTTCAGCCAATGGGAGCAGAAGGAACAACGGGAAAGAGATATACAAAGGATGTATCCAAGTAGGGTTGATGTTCCAGCTTGGGGAGAGCATAGCTGAACAGGTTGAGAGTGCAGTGTTAAACGCTGACCATGAGTAACAGTATTGGCCTTGGTGCCCTGCTAAGAGCAGGTAGGCAACGAGGAGTCTTTTAAGATTTTCCAGACCGTAGGAGCAGCATGATCTGATCTACATTTTAAAGAGCCATAGAAGTAAAATGAAGGTTGGCTCTTAAAGGCAGCATTATAGCAATAATCCAAATGGAAAATAAAAGACCAACTAATGATGGGGTGGTCATGGAGGAAAAAGTAGATTTCAGAGATATTGTAGAATAAAATCTACATGACTTCAGTAATATGCCAGATATAAGAGGATAGGAAGAATGGGGGATGGCTGACATTTCTAATTTATCTGACTAAGTGGAAACAGTGGCCATTTTGTGGAAAGAAAACTATTTATGGGAGGGAAAATAATCATGAGTTCAATTTCAGACATGCTGGAATTTAGGTGCCAGAAAAAAAACCAGGTAAAATATTTAGTAGACAGTTGAGAATAAAGAACAAAAGTTCAGGCTGGGCACGGTGGCTCATCCCTGTAATCCCACCATTTTGGGAGGCTAAGGCAGGTGGATCACTTGAGGTCAGGAGTTCAAAACCAGTTTGGCTAACATGGTGAAACCCATCTCTACTAAAAATAAAAAAATTAACCGGGCATAGTGGTGCATGCTTATAGTCCCAGCTACTTGGGAGGCTGAGGCAGGAGAATCACTTGAACCTAGGAGGTGGAGGTAGCAATGAGCAGAGATCATGCCACTGCACTCCAGCCTGGATGACAGGATGAGACATCATCCCAGGGGGGAAAAAAAAAAAAAAAAAAACAGAAGCTCAGGAAAAAGATCAGTGATGGAGTTAATGCTATGGGGAACAACAAGACACAGGTCATAGCAAAAACCACATGTGAAAAGAGGACCCAGGACAGACAATGTGACGGGGACCACAAGCAGATAAGCAATGGTTACAGAAAGATTGAGAGACAAGCCAAATGCAGGTCACAAAGGTAGAGGGAATACCAGGAGGGAATAATGTCACTGAACTCAAATCAAACAAGGAACTCAAAATATAAGGGGCTGTCAACACCATGTAGTGTAGTCAAGTAACCAACCAGGAGAGGTCTGAGGAGAGGCTGTAAATGTAAGTAAATTTGTAAATTACTATATTTGGAAGTTGTAAATGTTATACTAAGATCATTAGCATAAATGGCAAGCAGTTTCAGAAAACGTGGGGGTGTTTTAACCCTAAAGCTCTGGTTTTCTTCAGTCTCACTCAATAACTCCCAGTCAAAAGATACGAACCTAAGTGAGTAAGTGGGGTTGGCAAACTTGTTTGCCCAGTTGTAGCTTAGCTTACCATAAGAGCTATACAAGAGAGCGTAAATGACACTCAGTCCCAGTCCTAAAGAAAAGTGTAGAACTTCAGATGCCCCGAGAGAAAAGCTATGACATTCACGTGACACAACTATGATGATGAACCTCGAGTCGACTTTTAGATTTGGTTAATTCCCGTTAGTATATTTAGAGGAGTGAAGATGAGGGGATTTCCATGGCTCTTGATGTTTTCTGCTCCCACTTTTGATGCCTGTCTTTTAAGAAGTGGACGGAACTAAGTAAATGACTTATGGTACCCAATGAAGTTCTACTTCTTCTACCCTGGATTTGGACTTATGATCTGTCTCCTTTCCACAAAATATTGACAAAACACAATGTATATGTAACTAGAATTTAATCTTCCCCTTTGGATGTTGGTGGTCTTAATATTGATCCCCAGCGTCTTATAATCAATAGATGTTTAGTTAAGCAGTTCACTTGTTTTGGAGTAACAGTTATAGTGTGGGCAATGGGTATGTGGCCACTTCCGCAATAACCCCAGGTCTCCTGACAGAGTGAACGTTACAATCACATATTTGTTGCTATTAGCTCATAAGATGGTGGAAACCAATTTTGAAAAGCAAGTAATAAAGCACCACATAAAAAATAATGGTGTAATTACTTCTTGGTCAGGTAATACCTACTGTGATATAAAAACCAAAGGGAGCACCAAGCGTCGTAAGCGGGTTTGCTGTAAATCTGACACTGGTTCTGACCTTCAGCAAGGAAAAGCTCTGAACCCACCCATCTAAGCCAGGTACACAGAAGACTCTTTGTGGCACGTGTCTTTACCAAGTCTCTGTGTAAAAGCATTTTAATGAATTTATTTCATTAGTGCCTCTGTCAATTCTCAGGAGCTGAAGAGACTGCTCCAGTTGCTACATTACCGACCCAAAGGCTTTCATAATCTCATTTGAATTTAGGCCCCAAGGAAAGGGGTCTGTGAACTGCATTAGGAAGTAATTGTCATGTGGATATAGTTCGTTGTCTAAATGTAGAGGACAACGAAGGAGGGTGGGGGTTCTAATGGAACATGGACCACACTGTCCAGGAGAAAGTGGAGATAATGCTGGCTGTTGCTGTTGATCACAAGCAAACACCGTGGTAATCCACTAACCTAAGCAGAAGAAACCAATTAGCCTCCACCTTCAGGCCCTGATTCTTTTTTTCACATTTCATCCCAGGTGCTCGAGAGGCTTTCCTAATTCACATGGATAATGTGGGTGGGTGCAGGGAGTGAGAGAGAGAATTAGCCAAAGTTATTCCCTGAACTTTTAAGGATAGGATAGCACAGTCCATATTTAAGGACATCATGATGAAGTTTTTATTACTACTCCTCTGGCTTATTTCCAGCTTGGGGGAAGACTCGTGGTTAATATTTCTGTTTAGCTTGTCTAAGCTGAAAATGGTTCTCCTAAGGTACATGCATCATTAGAAGCTTTCATGACAGGATGCTATTAGAGCACAGCATTTGTCACAGCACAGGATGAAGCAAAAGTAGGGTAGCTTTCACTAATAAAAGTGACAAAACGTTAAATTCTCAATGGCAGCAACTTGAATGGAGACATGAGAATTCTTATACCCTGATGGTTGGTTAGAATTGGGTACAAGCTTTCTGGAAAGCAAATTGGCTATTTTAGATGGGGAGGATGAAATACTTTTAAGCTTACAGACTGAAGCTTTATTAAATTCAGAGGCATCTCCAAAAGTAGGCCTAGTAGCCACAAAAACTATTTTTCCAAGTGGGCAAAGGCCTTTGTAAATGCCATCTAGTGTTACAAGAAGCCTTGTTCTTGCTAAGATTACTCTGGACCTCTTTTTCCTTCTAACTGGAATTAGAGGCTTAAGTTTCCCAAACTGAATCTTGCATTTCTCTCTATATTGATGGGTGCAATGGTCCTGCTTAAAACCAACAAGGAAAAAAAAGTGACCCTCCTTCTACACTCTCTCTCTAATCTTCCTGGTCCTATTGAAGCCTGGTGAATTTAGAGGAAATAAAAATAGTATTTAGCTCCATCTGTTGAATTCACTTTGCCTGAGGCCAGCATGTCAGATATTGTTGCTGGCTTTTTCAGAGGGCTGGGATATATCTGCAGGGCAGGGATCAGCTTGATAAACTGCTGACTTATTCTCAAATGGAAAATTTTTGTGATTCTATTGGGACAATAGGTACTGTGACCCTATAAGGGCAAAATCAAACATACTGGATTGCATTTTTCAAAAGCTACCAAAACAACTTTTAGATACAAGTACATTCTGCGAAGTCTCCCTTCTAACTCTAGAATTAACAGGCTGATCTTCATGTGGTCAGGTGGAGAGGCAAAGGCACATCTATCCACTCAATCCACTTCAGAACTTTATTGCTTCAAAAATCTTCCTTCAGCAAACACAACCAGGCTTGGAAAGCCTAAGTGATCAGTACAAGATCAACAACTAGTCAAAAGCTGAATCACAACTAAAACTCAAACGTTGGACCTGAAGCCACCCCAGGTCCTCTGCACCATTTCTTCATGTAAGCCTGACTTAAAATAAATAGGATCATTTGTTAAGAAGTGGTTCTGAGCATTTCACTTTTGCAAACTTATTTTTTTTTCCTTCAGATACCTCAAGAGGTAGATGTCCCTATTTCACGGATGAGAAAATTGTGGCTGCTGGTCTTGGGTGAAGGACTGGTAGCCAAAGAAAAGAAATGTGATTGAATTATACCTATGGAAAAAGACAACATCAAATCTGTCATTCAGACGACATCTTCCTATACATGATCTCCCTCCTATTACTGCTGATCATTTCAAAGCCATTTTGTAAAACAAACACCAACTAAAAGGAAGACAACAAAGTTCCTAAAATCAACATACTATGATTTTACCTACATTCTTGTTACAGAAATGAAATAAGGATAGTAGTTCATAGTAACTGATGTACAGTGACCATGTGCCAGCGACTGTGCTAGCCACTATATTACAAATCGATTCTTAGCTGCCTCTGTGAAATCTGTCCTGTTATTTTATATTTTACAGGAGGAAGACCCTGAGGATGACAGAGAGGTGACAGCTTACCCAAGTTTCACATCAGTAAAAGCTGAACCAGGATTCAAACTTGGGCATGCTGTCACTATTGTCCCCCCGACTCCTCTAGAATGGACTGCCCCTGTGGAAGCATTTAGCTAATACATTGGAAGCAATGGTGTTATCTTTCCCTTCAGGGCAATGTAGAAAACAAATAGTAAAAGACGCCTACAGCAAAAATATCTGTCTTCGACTTGAAAAACATAAATGTATATCCACATAGGCTATATAAAGACTTAACAAGACAGAAGTTTTAAAAGGGAAACTTGCCAGAATGGATCGCGCTTAAGTACAAAACCAGTTTCTGCGAGGCGTGTAGTGGTGATGTCACCAAAAAGATGGGAAATGACACTTCTCCATTATCATCTTCCAGCTTGTTTAATCTCACCTGGCAAGTTTTCCCTCATCAAGTAGGTTGAAAATGGTTATGGAATCCAGAGGCAGCTCCGGATAACACGGGTGGGATTCTGATATGCCTTCTTCATTAACTGCTCATACCCCAGAAATGAGAATAAAGCTGCTCCTCCTGGGGAGTCTTTTAACTGAAAAACTAATCTTAACTGAATGCACACATCAGTTAACTATCTTCAGATTCACAAACCATTAATGCCCCATTTTCACAGAGTGTCTTCTCTTCTTTCTGGCTTGTCTGAAGGCTGGCACTCTCAGGGCTGTGCTTAGAGGAATGTGAGATTCAGCAGGAATATGGAGGGGACAGGAGAGAAAAGAAGAGAGCTATTAAGTGCTCATCTTCACAACCAAACGACTGTTCTGGGGCTGAGCAGCAAGAGCATCAAATAATGCTGCCCTTGCATAATCGACATCCTCCCATCGCCGCTCCGAGTCAGTGGCAAAGGAATCACAAATAATGCCATTCTGCCCTCTGAATACCAGTTAAGCAGCCTTCAAATATGCCTACTGAGGGAAGACGAGGCTTGCAAATAGAGCCTTGCAGATGTAAAAGGATGGTAATGATAAAAGGAGGGGAGAAGAAAACAAATTGCAGATTTCTCTCTTGAAATACTTGGCCTGTTTGAAAGTTCCACTTTGTCTCTCCAGAGCAGAAAAACCTAAGCAGGAATTTGAGATGTGTCCCCAAAGCAATCTTGTCGAGTTGTAACCCATAGCATGGCAATTCCCTGTGCAAGAGGGCCAGATTGACTGCCCTTCTATGCCAGGAGAAGAAAGCTGCTTTATTTTATTTTTTTGAGATGGAATCTCACTCTGTCACCCAGGCTGCAGTGTAGTGGCACGACCTCCACTCACTGCAACCTCTGCTCTCTGGTTCAAGTGATTCCCCTGCCTCAGCCTCCTGAGTATCTGAGATTACAGGTGTGCACCACCATGCCTGGCTAATTTTTGTATATTTAGTAGAAATGGGGTTTTACCATGTTGGTCAGGCTGTTCTCGAACTCCTGACCTTGTCATCTGCCCACCTAGACCTCTCTAAGTGCTGAGATTACAGGCATGAGCCACTGCATGCAGCCAAAGCAAGCTTCTTGTGGAAGCACATACCTCTTCCTATGTAGCCTCTTAAAGTCACAAGGGTACAAGATTATGTATCTCTGCTGATGAAGACATCATTTACAATTGGACTTTGTGAAAGACAGAAACATATTTAAGTTCTTTCTGAATTTGGAACTAGATGGGTCCTATCAAAAACAATTTTCTAATTGTCACTAAAATATAGGAAACCATGAAGAAGATCCACCTCCCCAAATATGAAATGCCATCTTTTTAGATTTACTGCTTTTGGCTTGGAAATAAACTCAGAATCTAATAGTGTTCCCCTTGGCCAAAATTCTAAAACCAACAGTGACTAGAATCCTATAAACACAGAAAGAGATTCCTAACTCACTATATTCCTGGCCTTGAAACTTTGCTGTGGAAAGCACCACCAAATCAGGCCACTTGAGTCTAGGATCACCCACACCACAGTGAAGTCAGCACTTGGTAGAAAACTGTGAAAGTGGGCTCTAGCATACCTCTTAGCAATGCCATTAGTTGTGACATAGTCAATAAGCTCCCATAGAGTTTAGGTTTTGGGAAAAACAGGTATAGTGTTATATTACATGAGGGAGATAGATACACAATGAATAACAGCAGTGATGAGTTTCCTTTACATAGCAGGAGTATTTTCCTGGCTGTGGGATTTAGCATATCAACAAAAGAGGTTGGCCATGCCACTTCTCAGAGTTTCATTAGCCTGCTAGAACATTTAGAGGTCTGCGCAAGGTAAACTAACTCTCCCATGTTTGTACTGAAGTGGAGGTACCATAGACAGGTCCCATTCTGAGTACTGAATTATCTTGTCTTATGATGACATCAACACTGAAACGACAGAGAGCGTCTTTTGTAGTCAACAATATGGGACACTGGATTTTTATCTCCCTTTGGACAATGAGATTGTGGTTAGTACACTGGTGAATCTAACATCAATGCTCTATGAAAAATTGTTTTATGAAGGCTAGAGAGAGGATGGAGAGGGAGGTACACCCAGTTATAGATACATAAACACTGAAAGAGAAACTGAAATCAATTCTGCAAACAGTAGAAGTCAAAGCATTGTAGTTGTCATTAAGCATCTACCATTTTAATATTCAAATAAGATATTTCCTGAAATATCAGATCAATTCTTAAAGGAGAGCTGCTCCCAGTGGGGTTTACTTGTGGTCCTCTGTCTGACATCCATTAGGCAGGCTCCTTGTCTTTAGCAGCATGGGTTCAAACAAATGATAAGAGAGGAAATAGATTCCATTCTCTCTGTTTACTTTATTACTATTGATTTCTGAATTCCCTCCGATCTATTTCCTAACTGAGCAGATAATATACATTTAGTACCAAAGGTAATTATCCAAAATGAATCTAGTTTGCAACGGGGTGATAAAAAATTGAGAAGACACTGATAGATTAAATACTTATCATTAAAAAGTAGAGCTGATTGTATTAATATACATACAAGAGCTTTAATATTCTCACTTTATGGCTAGATATGATTTTCTAGGCTAATCATGAGTTCATGTGTACACTCGGACAGATTTTATGTCTACTCTATATTTTATAGCATTATTTTATATTGCAAATAATAAAAGCATTATAGGAAAAAATCAATTCAAAAAAAATTTTAATCTACCTTTTGCAAAAAAAAAAAAAAAGAATCATTTGGGCATTAAAAAAAAAAATCTTCAAAAAGGGCTAGAACATTTAGTTACCACAAATTACAATGGTTTTTAAAGCATCAAAGTTAGAGAAAAGAACAAAGATTGTGTTATTATGAAAGCATGTAAATAAATACAGTAAATCCACATTGTGGGAGATGATGCAGCATTTTAACATTATGTTTATGAAGAAATTTTAATGCGTGGGAAAATGCTTATTAGGCTATGTGAAAAAACAGGATCTAAAACTGTGTATGTGTAAACACACAATATAAGCACAAATATGAAGTATATGTTAATATCTATTTGTTACATATAGAAAAATATAAAAGAAATATATGAAAATGTTTTTAGTGGTTACCTCTGGGTAATGGGTATTGGATGATTTTAACTCTTGAAATTCTGTCCTAGTTTCTCTAAATTTTCTAAATCAGCACATATTATTTTTATATCTAAGTAAGTATTAGAGAGATGGGTGAATGAACCACTTGGATTGAATGGAGGGTAGGACACAAGTTTCATTTGCCCCTGGCTCATAATGACCTGAGGGCCTTCACATGCCAGGGACTCCTATACTGATGCCTCTTTGGAAATGTGTCCACCTGCAGGCAGAGTAAGCTTGAATTCTGCAGACTCCTACCAGATATGTTCAAGCATCATATACTCAGGGATCATCACACTTTTAAAAGACATATGTAGTTATCGAAATATTGAAGTACTGAGGAAAGAGTACAATGGAGCACTTAAGAGAATGAATTCTGGAGTCAGATCGTCTGGCTAGGCTCCTCCACCCACTATTTGAGTAATTCTGGCAAATGACATAATCTATGTGTCAGTTTCCTTACCTGTTCAACCAGGACAGTCAAGTGCCTTCCTTACAGAGATGTTAGGGGAGTCAGTGGGCTTAACTATTTGTAAAACACTTAGAAGACTGTGTTACACAATGAGTACTTATCCATTACATGAATACATTTAAAAAATTCTGATACACTGATCAGAATCAACTTACAAATGAATAAATGGACATGGTCAAGATATTTAGAAAACATTTGAGCTTTTGTAAATTCCTGAGGCAAGGTACAATTTCTGTTCAGCTTAAGTCGAGACGCAAGATTGTAGTGGTTTTAGATGGTTTCTATGTACTGCCAAAGATCTGTCCATCCATACATTTCTATCCAGAATGATGTTGATAATGTTAAATTTCAATGGAATAATTACTATGTACTATATGTAGGGTTTTGTTACCCACTCTATATTTAGATTGTAATAGATGTGAAACTAAATAGGTATTCAATAAATGTTTACTGAATGAAAGCACAAATGAATGACTTCACCACAGCTGCATCGAGTTGTCTAAATATGAGCATATTTCCACAAAGGATCCATTGTTAAATGAACTTTCCTTCTTATTAAGAACTAGGATTGAAGTATCAAATTTCCTAGAATCTAAAACTTTTTACTGTTATGACTTGGAAACAATTGGATGGCAAGATTAAAAGGGGAAAATTTATTTATTCCAAGATTTAAAAAAATCACAGCTTAGGACTTGAATGTCTTCACGGATCCATTTCTTAAGAAATCGATAAGGATGCAGAAAGCTTTACAAGAGAAGATACCAAGACAGCAATGGCAGTACCAATAAACAGAAATAGATAGTTCCTCTCACTAGTTCTGTGGTTTTCTCCTACCCCGTAGAGCGTGACAAGAGAATGTTAAAATAACTGAAATCAAGAACAATACTGGAATTAAGAAAAGTCTACAATGGCAAATTTTTACTGTAACAAATTTCATTACTGAGTGAGGGAGGAAAACAACTGTTTTTAGATACTATCCATTGTTTTCTTTTTTTTTTTTTTTTTGAGACAGTTTTGCTCCTTACCCAGGCTGGAGTGCAATGGCACTATCTCGGCTCACTGCAACCTCCGCCTCCCGGGTTCAAGCAATTCTCCTGCCTCAGCCTCCCAAGTAGCTGGGACTACAGGCATGCTCCACCACGCCCAGCTAATTTTTGTATTTTCAGTAGAGACGGGGTTTCACCTCATTGACCAGGATGGTCTCGATTTCTTGACCTCGTGATCCAACCGCCTCGGCCTCCCAAAGTGCTGGGATTATAGGCAAGAGCCACCGCGCCCGGCCATGTCCATTGTTTTCTGTATATTTCAAAGCACCTCTTCACACACATAACTTTCAAACTGATAGTGTAACTTTTAGTGTTTTGTGGCGATCTTGGCTCCAATGTAGCAAATAAGAAGTGAAATGTCCCATGGTTGTAAAATCTTGATAAGTTATCCATGTCACTCTGTTCAAATGTGGAACTGCTCAAACCACACAGATAATTATAGATGACCAGATTGTAACTGTTTTATTGCTTCTTTTTCCCCATAAATTTTAATTTTGGAAAGTTAAGCGAAAAATGTGGTTTCAGTTTCCTACAAATTGCACACAATTTGGTTTTAACAAGAAATAGAAAGAAAGGGTATGTTCTTTAAAATGAATCACGAACTAGAGTTTGTTTTCGCTCTCTCAACACCGCAAAAACAATAAAGCACAAAATTTAGACAAGATGCCTTACAAAATGGAAATCATGAACTGCAGTAAGAAAGCAGAAAGTCATTATTTTTTATCTAAACATGATTTCAGAAATCTAACAGGATAATACAATTGAGCCGTTTTTTTCCCTCTGGAGAAGCAAGCTAAAGTTAAACAAAAAGAGAGAGAAAGAATGAAAGGAAACAGGAGTAGATGCTGACAATCTTAATACATGCAACAGGAAATCTGTTAATAAGAAAAGCTGTGTGTATCTCCATCTTACTCTCTCCACAACTGTCACCCACAACAAAGGAACTATTAAGAACAATTAATTTTGAAACTATTTAAACACATACCTAGAAACGGGACAAAACACAAGAATTTATAAAGGAACTTAGTGGAGAGAAATTCTAGCCTTCTGATGGGTTCTGGCTACACTCGTAGAGTTAGACCAACGTGCTTTCTTGATTCAAGGCCGTGGTCTGCTACAACTAGCATGTTAAAGACAGGAACTTCATGCAGTGTCTCTACCAACCAAAACCACTGGCTGGAAAGCAAATAAGGAAATCAGTCAACCAATTTTTTTTTCACCTTTGTGCCAAACTTTGAGTGAATGTACTTTTCTTCCTTAACTGATCACTGCTTTCACCTTTTCAGCACTGTAGACTGTTGTCTATGTGTTAGGCAAAATAAAGTATTTGAGTAAAAACTATTTCATCAAAATTGTTGATCTTCATTGATCAAATTCTCCAGGGCCTGGGTTACTTAACAGCACCACCATAGCTTTCTCAAATTTCTACTTCCAAAAATGTTTTCTTTTAGACATATTGTGACAGCCACAAAGCTTACCTGCATGAGTATCCTATAAACAAAGTTGTTGTAGACCAAATGTTAACAGGTGTCCCTGGTAAATGCTGTATGTAGCCCTAAATTTTCCTTTCTGGCCAAAGTATAGTATTTGCTAATTTTTTTCTCACTAGGGTTTAAAGTTGCAAGTCTAAAGTGCTTCTGACTGTTAAAACATGAGGCTCTGGCTTATGACGGTCCAGTTATAAACTGGGACTTGGCTCATATGAAGTATTACTCATTGACTAATAATCCTATTAGTCAAAACTAAACTTTCAGTCAACTACATATTTTACATATTACTGCATGAAGCTCTAGCAGAAGTTCACCATCCTAAACAGCCCTTGAAGGCTTCACAATGAACAAGAGGTGATTTACTCTCTTGAAATGTAAAAGCTGAATTTTCCCACCCAAAAGTCAATAAATCTTTGGTGTTGGTGAAAGGCCATTCCCTACCTGTAGCAATTAAGTTATGCAACCCTCAGGCAATGACTTTTCATTGAGCTCAGACCGGGCTGACCTCAGCATCCACATGCATCTCAGTCCCCAATGCTCAACTGACGGTACAGTCTGATCGCCACAATGTTGCAATAGAAAGAAAGGATTTTCTAGCAAAATGCTGGAAAGCTTCAATACTCTAAGAATCCACACAAAGCCATCTTGAGAGGGAAGCAAGTGATATGGTTTACTCTTAAATCCATGCTGGAAATCCCATTACTGGGTATATATCCAAAGGATTATAAATCGTTCTATAAGGACACATGCACACGAATGTTCATTGCAGCACTGTTTACAGTAGCAAACACCTGGAATCAACCCAAATGCCCATCAATGACAGACTGGACAGGGAGAATGTGGCACGTATACACCATGGAATATTATGCAGCAATCAAAAATGATGAGTTCTTGTCCTTTGTAGGAACATGGATGAACCTGGAGAATATCACTCTCAGCAAACTGACACAAGAACAGAAAATAACGCATGTTCTCACTCATAGGCGGGTGTTGAACAATGAGAACACATGGACTCAGGGAGGGGAGCACTACACACTGGGGTCTATTGGGGGGAATGGGGAGGGACAGCAGGAGGTGGGGAGTTGGGGAGAGATAGCATGGGGAGAAATGCCAGATATAGGTGAAGGGGAGGAAGGCAGCAAATCACACTGCCACATGTGTACCTATGCAAGTATCTTGCATGTTCTTCACATGTACCCCAAAACCTAAAATGCAATAAAAAAAATAAAATAACAAATAAATAAATAAATAATAAAAATAAAGTTTAAACTTTTTAAAGAAAAAAAAAATCCATGCTGGAGTATTTTTCACTCATTCATTTATTTATTCTTTCAACATCTTTTCCACAAGAGCCTCCTCAACCTATGCCACCCATCAGCCTTGATTTCAAATCTATGATATCAGATTAGATTTTTTTCTAGTTAGAAAAAGTATTAACAAATACTATATTTTGACCAGATCAAAAACACCATCCTGACCTGACAAGGACTCCCAAATATTTGATTCATTGTAATAAGCACCTTATTTCTCTGTAAACAAAAGTATCTAGATGACAATGGATGAGTACTGGAAACTCTGCTCAATTCAATGCAAACAATTATAATTGCAAGGAATTTTTTCTTACTGAAAATTGAATTCAAGCGAGTGCTCAGGGTTTTCCATAGCATGCTAAAGAAAACAAAAACACCCTAAGAAACCTCAAATCTCTCATGAGAGGTTGGGGAGAGAAGTTATTAAGAGGACAGAGAGGGACAATGTCAACAATGAGTTTGCGAAATCATTTGTCTAAAGTCCTGGACTATTGTAGAACATATTATGGCTGAGAGGTAAAATTAAAAGGGGACAGATGATGGATGGTATAGAGTTTTTCTTCCAATTTCTTATAATACCTACTTTTCTTATAAACTAATGTTTACTTTTTTTCACATATAAAGACTGCCTATTGCCTATTTTTAAGAAGATAGAGCTCAGAAATTAGGGAAAAAGTAGAAAACACACATTCAAAGTGATATTTCCTACCCTGAGCCCCCTGACCACATCCCTCCCCACTTCTCTAGTTCCTTGGACCACCAGGTTGGGCTGTCTTCTTCCCAGTCATTTACCTAGATTTCTACCAGAGCATTTGCCACTTTGATTTGCATCATATGCCAGCACAGCCTGCCCTCTGTTCTTACTAGCTCTGCACCTGTCTCCTATGTTATCTTAATTCTTTGCACCACACTTTGCACAGAGTTGACATTCAGTAAAAGGCAGAGAATGAAATTCAAGAGACCAGTAGACTTACTTCTACTTTAGGAAGTTCATTTTATTTTCAAGCTCCTAAATCTTTATTGGGATTAACTAGCCGAAGGCCTAACAGTGAAAAGACAGACAGGGATTGTGAAGGCATTTTGAGATATTTGATGGACTTAGAACTCCCACAGAATTTTAAAAAAGAAAACAAAGCCTGAGATCTGCAAGGGCCTGGGTACAAGGCCCTTGGAAGGAGAGAAGCTTCACGGAAAATGGTTGCCATGAGAGGATTTTGGGAGAACCTCTGTGAGGACACATGAGGGAGTTTAGGACAGGGCCTATCAGTGGAAGCGAAAACTAGTGCCCAAATACTCAAGACATAGTTTGGTGAAAGATCACCTAACATTCCAAATGAAATAGTGGAGATAAAGACATCTGGTAGTTTTCTTACTGACAAAAGCCAAGTGTGAAATCAGATATTTTTGTTTTTAAGGCTCTCTTTCTAAAATTTCCTAACTTGGCCAAAATGTCAGTGCTACTTTAGCAGCTTAAAGAGCTCAGCAGCAAACATTAGCAAGTTGGCCCTGAGTGCTAACTTGCTGAATCCGTTGGGCTCTTGAGGTGGGTTCTCCTGGCGTCTTGGTTGAGCATCCGCAGAACCAGGCTCTCATTCTGGCAGGCTCTTTACCCCCAGCCAAATCTCAACCACAGCTCAACTTTCCCAGCCTCTGGAGATAAAGTGTTTGGGCTACCTTCTGACCAAGTGTGAGTTTCTTTTTTTTTTTTTCTGCTTATGAGATAGGCTATAGCGCCTTTCCCAGGATAATCAGTCATCTTGACTGGTGACCACAGGAAGAGGCAGACAAAACTGGGAAAGTCTAGATCAGTGGATCGGTTTCATAAAATCACTGAACACTGTTGGGACAAATTTGATTGGACAAGTTTTTCTTTTTCTTTTTTTGGCCCCTTTTGTTTTTTAAAATTGAGTAACTTACTCATTCTTCAAAAATTATTTAGAATATTTTACTTGAATCCATTCCTGACTATAAATAACCTCTTGAAGTATAAATGTAAGGGTTTTTGAATTCCTTTTTTATTCATCCACCAATCCAGTTATCTGGCAACCATTACAGGACTTTAACTCTCTGCCAGCCGTTGTGCTTGTGGTGCCTAACATGCAAACTCTATCCTTGCAGCTGCCTTTTTTAAATTCCCCAGTAAACATTTAATAAAGAAATAGATGAATGAATGAATGAATGAACGAATGAAT